TCCAAGGTGTGACAGTTGGTCGTGTCGAGTCGAGGCAGAGGCAGAGGTAGACGGGAGATGATCAGTCTGAGAAGACTTTACTCTCTGTCGGTCCTTCTCGAGGTCTCTCGGATGAATCTGGTGGTATAACGAAAATGAATGTGAAAGCAAGGAAGTGACAGCGCGGATAACACCAGAATCGGTAGCGGTAGCGTCGATCCCCAGAGGGTAGTCAAAGCCAGTGATGATCGGGTGGTGTCTCACCGGCTGCTCCTCCCAGTAGAGGCCAAGCCAGTGATGGCAGTGCTCCGGGCAGGTAGTAGCGGTTAACAGTGGCGGACGGTAAAGGGAAAGGACAAAAGAGAACGTTGTCGAAGCTTAGCCCTTAGCTAAAGAAGGTCACCTGGGCTACGACGGAGAGCGTGAGAATGACCAGCAGGAACCTCCCGTGGTGGGCTTAGACAGCTTTCGCTCTCCTGCGGTTGAGGGTTCGGGTTAGATAGGCGCCGAGGGGGGGGGTAGGAGCCAGTGTATCTGCTCTCCAGGAACGTTTTCCACTTTGACACTTCTATGTCGATAAGGGCAAAGGAAAAGTTAATAATCGAAAGGAGACGGGGCCATGAACAGGGCCCGGCAGGTTAGGTAGAAAGAGGCTAGCACCGATAGGAGGGTGGGAAGAGACTTGGATCGCGGGGTCTCGACTATCGAAGGTGCCACGGGTCTTGGCCGGGGTTCTTTCGCTTGTCTCAATATCGAGATGAGTGGAGGGAACGAGGACTGCTGGCGTAGGAATAAGGAATCAAAAGTAAGCCGAGGTCTGAGGTGGAAATCGGCACTCGTCTGCCTTGTGGGACACTATTCCCTAAGTTGACAAGAGAGAATCGAGGATTTAGTGTGGATGAGTTCTACGCCTGGATTTCGCCTTCCCCGCTGTGCACTACATAGTGTAGATGTCATGGCTATTTTAGAACCCAGCTCGAAGAGAAGTACCGGATGAAGTCGCATTGAAGTGTGTAGTGTAGACGCGCGTAGGAAAGGAAAAAAGCCGCCGCCCCTCGTCATCTGTATGCTAATCACTACCATTCCCATCAGTGAATACCACAAAAGTTACTTGGGGCGAAAAAAATCAAACCGCGAATGCGGCTCGGGTACCATACCATCTCTGGAGCAAGCACTCCGTACAGTGATGCGAAAGCAGAGGAACGCTGGAGAGAGGGGGAGGGGCAAGAACCAAGGGGGGTGGGGGCGTGGTCAGACCAGACGACAGGGACAGGGATCTTTTTACGGGCATTCGCCTCTCATTTTCGGCGGTCTCGCCCCGTAGGAGCACTTTTCCCGATGGGCCTAGATTCGCCTTGAATATAGAGTACTGCGACGCTACTCTCTGCTCTGCATTTTGCTGGCTACTGTACCAGAATCCAGCGAGCTGAGACCAATGCGATGTACGTGGCCTACCGCACTTCTTGTTTTCTTGTCTCCTTTATGCCCAGGGGTTATACATCTGTGTGTTAGTGTGTGTGTGTCGGCCAGCGGACCTGGAAGCTGGGAGAGACATTGACGCAGCTCAATTCTCCCAAGTCCCAAGTCCCCCCCCCGACTAGCGATTAGTTCCCTCGCAGCCTTCGTTAGGTCCTTGCAACTCCGGGACCGGATTTCTGGGGCCTTCTGCAGAAGAAAGCGTCTCCCTGTCCTGTAGTGTAGTCTCTGTCGAGCCACTTCCGGTCCTTTCGCTTTTTGTTGCCCTCCCCAATGACCTTCCTGTCTTTCCCGTCCCCTCTCGCCTTCACTCCTATGCATCTATATGAGGGGCCGCTTTGGCTGCGTATCTCACTCACTAAGTACGGATACCTACCTACTTATGCACAAGCACACATGTGTACCACCCGACCAAAGACCCCACTTTCCGCTCCGATAATTTCTGCCCACCACATATCATCTTGGAATCACTGCCCACGGGGACAAACTGCTCAAATCACACCTGGAAATAAAGTACCAACAAGCTTTCGAAATTCCCGCAACTCTATCACCCGGGGAGAGCCCAGCAGCCTCGAGTACCCACAGTCGCACACAGCTAGCTCAGCAATCCTGGAGACTTCGCAATCAAGAGACGTGACAGAGCCACTTGCCCAGCCTTCCTGGTGACAATGGAGGCAGACCGCTGGACGGCGGCGAATCCGATTGCCTGGCTGCTGCTCGCCCCCCTCTCCACTATGCCTACGCCGCCGATCCCACCCTGAAGTGAGCAAACATCGTGTTTGGCAAAGCCTGCTCATCGCATTCTCCAAAATCCCGTCTCGTGTTCTTGGTCCGAAACGGCAACCTCTGCCTGCCAACCACGCCCGTGTCTTTCCGTCCGTCGCTTCGAGTGCTCCGCTACATGTGTAGGAATTTTCACTTCCAATTTAGCGTATGTGACCAACTCCTGCGAACCCCCCACAAGTCGTTCGAGGTTCGTCGGAGACGACTCGGCTTGCATATTGCCGAGACCCTTGCAGACCCGCGTCAACCGCCCTGAATCCTGTATCCTCTCACTCTCGCTCTTTTGCCTTCGCCCTGTGGACAACGATACTTAGAGGCTTCTGTTACGTCGGAAGAAACGACAAAAGTTGTTATATTAATAACTATAGGGCAGACAGGACGCTGTGCTGTGCCCACGTTTGCGCTCCAGGTTATTCAAACATTGGAGACGTCATGCGGAACGCCATGACCCATGCATAGGTACTCTCCCACATTTTGCCTTTTGATAGCTTCTCTGCCCGTCTCTCTACCCAGTCTATAAGCGCGCCGCCCGAGGTCCTGCCTCGATACCATTGTCGCCCGGCTCGTCCTCGTGGCTCTCGTTGTTGATGAACAAGAAGGAGATGAGCACGACCGCCGCGCCGGCCCAGTATACCCAGCTGGAGTACTGCGAGTACTGGATCATCTCGCCGATAAGCGATAGCGGGATCGTCAGCGATAGGCCCACCGTGACCACCAGCGGCGTTGTGAGCAACATGGCGTATGCCCACGACATGTCGCTGATGAAGGACGACACCGAGTTGCCAATTACGATGGCCCAGATCTTGCCCGTTGGGGGGAAGGAGAACTAGATCGTGTTAGGTAGTTCGCTATTAGGCTGAGGGACGAGACGGGGACGACTCACTGGTTCCTGCCCCGAGAAATGCAAAATAAAGAACACCGGCCACAGGAACACCAGATTGAACAGACCGACCAGCCCAAAGAAGAGTGGCATATTCACCCGGTCCTCGTTACCGACCCGCCGCTTCATCACAGTCACGTAGAGACCGTAGATGATGGCACTGACGAACGCCATCATGTCCCCGATGGCGATCTGCGTCGTCGTCTTGTGCGGGAACGACCCGCGGTTCTCGTCGCTCGAGCCCGACAGGTCGACCGTCGAAATGAGAACGATGCCCGTCAGCGACGCCATCACGCCGATGAACTTACGCAGCGTGAAACCTTCGACACCCATCAGCGCGCAGAAGACAAGCGTCCAAACGCTGCTCGTCGAGTTGAGAATCGTCACGCTCCCGACGCTCGTGTACTCGAGGCACGCCGACGCAAAGTAGTTTGCGAAAAACCACAGCATGCAGAACTCGAGGCTGATGACGGCCGTCTCCCGGAACGTCAACCGCTCCACTGGCCTGGTCACCTCGAACCCCTCCATCTCCAGGCTCGGCTCGTCGTCGACCAGTAGCCGCTCGCCCGCCACCGTGTCTTCTTCGTCCTCGGCCGTCTTGGAGCCCGCCTTGCCATGTCGCTGCTCGTTCCAGACCACCATGGCCTCGCGCCGCAAGCCTTCGACACCGTGCTGCATCAGGAAGCGCACCAGCATTGGCACCAGTGACACCGCAAATACCGAAGTGTTCATGTATACCACGAAAAATGGCTTGTCGTACGAATGATCCGAAAATATGTACTGTCCACCGTCAGCCCAAATCCATCACCGTAGCCAATAAGGGGCCTGGCGCATACGGATGCCATAAAGTTGGATATCGTCCAGAGCAGCACGGTCAAAAGCAGTAGTGAAATACCCAGCGTGCGCCTCGCCACGCCGCCCAGTCCCATTTTCGCCTGCCATCCCGACGACCGCACCGTCGACCTTGACCGGGTTGTAGATGCAACAGACGCGCTCAGCCGGTCGGTGCTCGAGAAGGACCTCCTCGGTGGACGACTGTTTGACTCGTGAGCTATCGCAGCGGATAGCATTGGCTCGTTCGGTGCCATGGTTGTTTCAGGGTTTCGCGATCTGTCACAAAGGGATGTGGTGTATTCAGGAAGGATTGTCCGCCGTATGGTAGTCCAAGATCGTCGATGCCGTAGGCATTTGACCACGGGGAGGCAATGACAGAGAATTCGAGCTTCGTTGATGAACGTTTCCAAGGGAGCGGTGGTCAAATGTCTCGTCGCTGACTTGGCGCATGTAAAGCCGGTGCGGGTTGCCGTAGGCCAATGGAGTCTTCGGAGGGTTGGTAACGAGGGTATGTCGATGTTCGGAGCAGGATCACCGGAGACCAGAACCCCGCAAAGAAGCCAGGCACGTTTCTCTCGTCGGACGTGTCGTCCGCGAAGAGGGGCTTTCTTTTCTTCTCGAAGAACGTTGGCTCTTCCCAAAACCAAAAACAAACAAAAAAACAAAGGGATTTATTTGTGTTGACGTTGTTTAGGGGTGTTTCTCCAGGGTTAAGTTTCACTGGTACGGGCCAATACACGCCCCCTGTATTCATCCCGAGTGCCGACCGACCGACCGACCAATAGCCGTAGGGCAGTTGCAGGTCTCAGCCTCTTTGCTCCATTCCCTTTCGACACGTACTTGCTCACAGCACGAGGCTCGGCTTGGTCTCGGTCGCCGCTGGATAAAGCTAGGCACGGCGCCGCGCGGCGGCTTGCAGAATGGTTGCCAGGCCGGAATTGGTGCCGGTCTCCAAACTGGAGCCTAGTGCAGCCTTGGGTTTAGTCTTCCGAGCGGAAACGGCAAGCATGATCCGTCAATCCGAGCTGAAGCTTGATGTCAAATGCCCGAAGATATGAGAGTCCTCATTCAACTCTTTCATGTTGTGAATCGGGATGGGTGTGGTGCCAAGTAAACGTTCATAGGCTCTAGTGGTGAGCAGGTCTAAAGTGACACTCAGAACGAACCTGGCACATCGCAACAAAGATTGACATACTACAAACAAGCCCGTAATCGAATTCAAATGAAACCTCTAAACACCATCCACACCAGTGCAGGATATGCTACATCAAGCCAAGGACAAAATGGATATATGGAAAGGCCCATGGACTGAACACAAATGTGAGTTGGGCCCCGACACTGCATGCGCGCCCTAACCCCTCCTTCTCGCTCAACGTTAACCAACTCAACCGACACCTGCTTAGCAAGAGCATCCGTCCCGGGGGTTCTCAATGGGGATGTTGATGACATCCTGGTAGTCACCGCTGAACTCTTCAGACTCCTCCTGAGCGAGGGCGTTCCGCGCGATAACTAGTTGATATTGTCAGTAACTCTCTCGAGCGCTTGAGCGCGCAATGGATGTGACCAACCTTCGAACGCCTGCTCAACATTGATGGCCTCCTTTGCACTGGTCTCGAAGTAGGGGATTCCGCCCTTGGACTGGCAAAAGGTCATCGCGCGCTTGGTAGAGATCTACAGAGCGTTAGGACATAGTTCCAGCATCGATGATCCCGGGCGCACTTACCACTCTCTTGCTCTCCTCGACATCGATCTTGTTTCCGAGAACGACCTGATCCCTTATCAGCGCTAATCTTCTGTTATCTTGGGCATTGACGGCAACTAACAAATGGGAAGTTGTCGGGGTCGCGCGGTGAAGCCTGGATCAGAAACTCGTCCCTCCAGCTGTCCAGAGCATCAAAACTCTTGGAGTTGTTGACGTCGTAGACGAGCACGCAGCAGTCGGCGCCGCGGTAGAATGCGACACCCAGAGACTGGAAACGCTCCTGTCCCGCCGTGTCCCAGAGCTACCATCCTCCATCATTAGCATAGTCCGTGTGTGTGATCGGGTAGCTTATCGGTGTTTGCCCACCTGCATAGTAACCTGGCGGTCGTCGACGAGAACCTCGCGGGTCAGGAAGTCGGCGCCGATCGTGGCTTTGTAGCTTGCACTGAACTTCTTGTTGACCTAAATCCGGCGAAATGTCACGTTAGCCGGTGTCCCAACCTATCACTGGTTGTCGCCAGGCGGATGGGTAGAGACTCACATATTGGTTCATCAGACTCGTCTTACCGACACCGCTGTCGCCAAGGATAATGACCTGCAAAGTAGCGACACCGTCAATTATGCTGCGCAGAGATTCTGTCGGTCGCGTTCAGGGAAGCTCACCTTGAGAAGGACCTTCTTTCTCGATGACATCGTAGATATTTGGGGTATGTGGGAGTTAAAGTTGGGGGAAAGTCAGGCGTCGACAGGTTGTCGGTCTGCGCAGTCAAAGAGACTTTCAGCGTCGCGGATGGATCAGGTATCGGTTCGGATGTCGAAATGGTCGAAAACGGACCGGTGTCGTACTTCAGGGGTGGTTGGTTGGAGTCGACTGCAGGCCGACACACGTCGAAGCACGGAGAGTGATGGTGGATGTTGACGGGGAAGGCCTGCGGTACTGAGAGCTCTCGTCACATTTCCAGGTTTCGGCCTATCAGAGAGCTGCTTCTGTGCTGGGTCTAACCAGGAAACGGTCCTGAGGCGCCTTTCGTCAGGTGCATTCCGCTTTTGCAAATGTGGCTGACGTAAGGAGGTTTACCTTAATGCGAGTCCCCCAAGGCGCTGGAATGACGCTGGCATGACTTGCTGGAGCACCGGAGCGCCTGGACGCACTGCAGCGGACTCCCCACACGACGCCCAGAGCTGCTCCAGCCACATTTACATCTCATCTCAACGACGCTCCAGGCGGCGGCTAAGTGCGGAAGCAACGCACTCACGCCTCCCAAGAGTCTAAGACCTCCATCGCTCGCGTCACATGTATGCTGCTGTGGGCGAACACGCTGCAAGACTACACTCGTAGCCCAGCATGCGCTGATGGGACTTTTGAGACACATCTCACCCGATCCTCATGGCGGATGAAGATCTCTTAACCAAGGTCCACGGCCTGAGCGACCTTGAGCTCGCCGTCCTGCTGTGCCTGGTAAACCGAGAACACTGCATCGTCAGCACTCCGCCCGTTGCCCTCAACGAACTGATTGAAGAGCTTCAGCTCGTGTGTACGCCCCGGGTCATGATATTATCTAGACACTGACCTCTCCAGATTACAACCAAGACCTTCGGTCTGAAGTGCGCCGTCGTGGATTGCACCCCGCAAACCACCCTCGAGGACTTTGCATCCTCAATCCTCACCGCCCCGTCGCCCACAGCGACGAGATCCGGCTCACCCCTCCGCACTCGTAATGAGCCCTCCTACTTCTCACACGCGGGCATCTTCCCCCTGACTGCCGTCACTGCCTCGAGCCCGACCGGCCCTGGCGGCGCAGCCAGCTACTCCATCGCCAACGTTGTCCTGGCCCGGAACCTCGACCGCGCCCCCAAGGCCGTGCAGATCCAGGCCCTCGAGCTGCTCCGCACGCGTCGCATCTTCACTCGCACCTCCGTCCAGACCGCGCCCAAACAGTTCCTTTTCGTGGCCGCCCTGGGTGCCGAGAGCGGTGGCAAGGCGCACGTCACGTTGCATCTGAACGACTACTTCTTCATCGCGCACTGGCACGATCCCGACGACGGCTTTGCCAATCTGGATGAGGCGTACGATGTCACCGACGGTGCCGAGACCGCCAGTACCGAAAGCGTGGTCAAGAAGAGCATCAACGGTGATGTATTGGCCGTCAGCGACGATCCCGTTTTCGGCGAAGGGGTAAGTGATTTCGTCCGCGAGACGGGTCCAATCTGAGCTGAGCTGACCTGTTGTAGGACATCGCGGCTCTTGCGAAGCTCAGCCGAGAGGTGCATATCGACGTGGATGTGCTGCGTTACCAGATGGACATGGTCACATACTTGAGGATGCACCGCGCAGTTGCAGGTGGCATTGAGCCAGTCGCAACCAAACACCTGGAACAGTTGCTCAAGTGTCTCGCACCATTACATGGCCTAGACTATGTCACGCCCGCTCTCGTTCATTTGGCTACTAGGAAGGTCTACCTGCATCGAATCCGGATAGTGCACCCTCGTCAGGAGCGGAGCATGCAGTGGGGCAGTCAGTTAGAGGCCATCGAGGCGATACTCGAAGGTATTGGCCCCGAGGACGTCATTGAAGACGTAATAGGGATGGTGACGGCGCCGCTATGAATGCAGACGTGAGCAACGGTTAGGGATCGTGGTGTATTCTAAATGACCTAGCCCGACGAGCTTTTCGCCCTTGACACCCATAGAAAGCATACAAGACATAGAACGCCTGCCCCTCGATCTGTATACTGATGCGTGTTCCGCCGTTTAATATTCGTTAGTCTCCAGCACAGCGACTCGTAATCGAACATTCCCATTTCTGTCGTGGAATTAAAAATCTATAAAATTACAAGCCAGCCAACGCCAGGGGGAGGCCCTCGCAACATCGTCACAGGACGGCTGGTTGACTTAGTTGACCTGGTTGACCCTGCACTGCCAGCCGGAGCCGGGAGAGAGGAGCGGTAAGCTGCGTGCTCTGTTAGCATTGATCGATAAGTCTAAACGGGGCCAGTACTTGCCTAGCGCCGAGGCACCAGCCTAGCTCATTGCCCTTGATCTTCTTGGCAATCTTGACCTCGCGGTCAATAGGCATCTCGTATCCGGTGTGAAGGAGGGCCATCATGAAGTTAAGATCGAGGCAGTGCTCGGGGCGACCCTGGAGTTCATTGAGCGCACCCGGAATGCTGGCGAACAGGTCCCAAGACTTCTCGCCGCCGCACACAGAGTTGGCAAGGTCGTGCATCTCGCGGAGGGTGAAGGAGTCGGGCATGCCGAGAGGCTTGGTACGGTCGTAAAAGTAGGAGAAGATGTAAACGTCTTCGCGACTGAAGGTTTTGGCCAGCGAAGGCTGATGAACACCGTTGAAGGAGCAGGGAGCGAGCTTGCAGTCCTCATCCTTCTTCAAAATCTTCTCGGCGAGGTTGCGGCACTGAGCGGGGGCGGCCTGAGAGGGGCCGGTCATGTTGAAAGTCATCGTCTTGCCGAGAGGGTGGTTGTCGTCCAGCTCGACCTCAACCTCCCTAACCATGCCGGGGGCGATGCACGGGTGGACAATGGGCTGCTTGACCCAACTGTCGTCGGACTTCTTGCTCTCGAAGATATCCTGGATCAGGGCCTTGTGTACGGCCTTGCGCGCGCTCATCAAGCCGTATCCGAGGTGGGAGTGCTGGTAGAGCTCGAACTTTTGTCCGCCGAAGGCGAGGTCGTACTTGTGGTCGCCCTCCGCGAGCTTCTCCGGCATGCCTCCGTCCGCAGCTCCCTTGAAGGTGGGCTCGAAAACAATCTGGGTAGAACCACCGCCGAGGTCGAAGACGGCAGCTGTGGGGCTCTTGTCGGGTCCGCCAATCTTACCGAGAAGGTAGTTGGTCGTGATCCAGGCGTATACGCCCTCGTCGGCACCGTCCATGATGGCAACACCGTTATCCTCCTTGGCGACAACGGGGAAAGGGTACTTGGTCTCGAGACGGTTGCGAACGGCCGTGAGAATCTTTTCAGCATTCTCAGCTCCGACCATGCGAAGTCCAGCCGTCGCTTTCACTGCTACAGGACTGCAAGACTTGAGCTTGTCGGGAACGGTTTGCATGGCGACTTCCATCAAGTTATCGAGAGTCGCCGCAGCAGCCTCCGGGTCGTCCTTATACTTGCTGAGACCGCCGACCGACTTCTCCGTCATCTTGAACTCTTCGTGCTCGAGCTCAGGAGTAGAACCGCAGTTGTTGAACTTGTAGACATGGATTCGGGAGCCTGTACTGCCAGCGTCGATCATCAGGACATACTGAACGATGGGCTTCGACTTGGAGCTGGACTGGGTGCACTTGTTGGTGCCGTAGGAGGCATCCGCGGGAACTTGGCCACCGGCGCCGCCTTTCGAGACTGTACCTTGTTAGCATCCTCGCCGGCCGCGCTGGCATGGCTGCATACCTCCTCCCTCATTGTAGACGTTTACGCCTCTAGGAGACATATACCAGAAGAGGAAGACGACGAAGAAGGCGATGGCCCCCGTCCGCATCCACCTCGTCTTCTGTGCTTGAGACATACCACTCAGTCGTCCAAGCAGACCAGTATTCCGTTGAGCAGGCGCGAACCGACCGGGCTTTTCGTGTGGGTCTCGGGCGGGTTGCTTCGTCGGCAGTGACACAGATGTTCTTCGCATTGGCAGCGTGTTGTCGGGTATTTAGTTGAGCACTAGGTGACGCATTCGAGATATGCCGCCGTCGAAGAGGGTGGAGGGGAACAAAGGAGTGGACTGGGACCGGGAGCCGATTACAAAGGTAGCACGGTGACTCGAGGTTCAAGAAGAGGTGCGCGTGGCCGGGTGAGAAAAGGAAAAGAAAAAAGAGCGGACGGGATGGTGCTACGACTTTAGAAGGAAGCGCGAAATTCGTGCCTATGTAAGGAGGCGTCAAAGGGGGGACCAGAGATGCAAGGTACAGTTGGCCTCGAAGGGGGTTCGATGGCAATTGCAGATTTTCTCTTGGCTGAGAGGTCATCAAAAGCCCGGACACCCCTGCTGAGTGTGGCAGTTTGCTAATCTTGAGTGCGGCTGCGGGGACGACGCGAGCCTACTAGATTGCTGGAAAGTCGGCAATGCTCTGAATGCGTCCCTCTTAATGGCTCCGCGATTGGGGCAGGGCCTGTCGTTCCCTGCTACGCCCCCCTGCATGGGCTTGTGTACGCACCGCTTTGCGCTCCTTGTTCTGTTCCTCCAGCTTACTCTGCTAACCTCCAGGGGGACTGGCCTTGGTACGGTAGCAGGTAAGGAGCACATTGACCAACACTTACCTAATGATCAGCTTGATGGCAAGCCACGTGTGGCGCATATCACCGGATCCAACACTGTGACAGATTCCTGGAAGCTTCTCGGTCATCATCAATTACGACTACGCCTGGTGCCTTGGATGTTGATAGTACATAACTGAGGGACTGGAAACGATTCAAGCAGTTGCACTTTGAGACCTTTTCTCACAAGCAATCGGCCCCTTGAATCAGTAGCCTCGCCCTCAAATTTCATTGTTACGATCACTCGAGCAGGCATAGCTTTCAGTCGACCCATAGCAGTACCAACATGGACGTGCATCTCTTGGTGTACGATCTGTCCCGGGGTTTGGCCAGGCAAATGTCCCAGGGCCTGCTCGGGTTCCATCTTGATGCCATCTACCACACGTCGGTTGAGCTCAACGGCCGCGAGTATGTCTACGACGGCGGCATCGTTGCCATCACTCCGGGGTCGTCTCACCTGGGGCAACCCATGGAGCGGATCTTTCTGGGGAAGACGGAGCTGCCCATGGATGTGATTGAGGAATTCTTGGAGTCCCTCAGGCCAATCTTTACAGTCGAGGTGAGATCTGTTCCACACCCCTCACGGATCAGAACAGAAGATGTTGACCGGATCTCAGGCCTACGACTTGTGGAAGCACAACTGCAACAACTTCTCAGACTCCCTTGCCCAGTTCTTGCTTGGGAAGGGCATCCCAGAGCATATCATCAAGATGCCCGATGCTGTTCTCAGCTCCCCAATGGGCAGAATGCTCATGCCCCAGCTGAACCAGACCATCAACTCCAGCAGACAGAATGGTTCAATTCTTGGAATCCAGAGCCCTCATTCCACCAACGGCTATGGATCAGCACCGCAGCCCACGAAACACCAAGCGAAGGTCAGAGTTGTTCACGGCTCCCAGGAACTGGACGATGCTCTCAAGGCTGCAAAGAAGTCTTGTGCCGTCGTTCTTTTCACCTCTGCAACCTGTCCGCCGTGCAGAGCCATCTCGCCCGTGTTTGATGAACTGTCTGCAGAAGCTGCCGACAAGGCTGCTTTTATCAAGGTCGACGTTGCCCAGCTTACGCCGCTTCCTGGGAAGAACTACCCTCGCGCGACCCCGACGTTCATCACGTATTTGCATGGGGAAAAGGAGAATGAGTGGGCTGGCGCTGACCCCGCTGCTCTTCGAGGCAACGTCCAACTCCTGCTGCAGATGGCCTGGCCGCGGCATCCTCACGAGTCTCTCAACCTGCCAAGCTTCTCTAACCCGAATGCAGAACCAGTGCTGTTTTCCAAGGTGCCACCGCTGTTCAAGCTGCTAGGAAAGATGGGTTCTACGGCAAACGAGCCAGTCGTTCAGGGGATGAAGCAGTTTGTTGAGGCTCGTGACAAGGAGGGCGCTGCCGCCGCCATTCTTCCAAACATGTGCGAGGTCTCGGCGCTCATACAGAAGTCAATCGAGTCCCTACCTATCGAGATCATGTTCACTATTGTTGACCTCTTCCGATGTGGGCTCGTGGATGCCAGGTTCAGCGGCTTCTTCGCCGAGGAGCCGGAGCACAAAACCGTCTTGGCAGTTCTCAATTTTGTCAATTCGCACAGCGAATGCCCCTATGCCCTGCGGTTGGTAACGTTGCAGATGGCGTGCAATCTCTTCTCAACGCCGCTGTTCCCAGAAGAAATCCTCCGCAACGAGGCGCTGAGGGCTCCGATCATCCAGTTGATCTCGTCGAGCTTCCTCGATGACAGCCACAATAACGTGCGCGTATCTGCCTCTTCGCTCATGTTCAACCTAGCTCTGTTCAGCAACAAGGCAAGACGAGAGAAATCAGGGGGCGTGCTGCCCGAGGGCGACACGGTCGAACTGGCTGCATCGGTTTTGGAGGCCATAGGACAAGAGGAGTCCTCTCCGGAGGCTCTACAGGGCATGTTGCTCGCATTAGGTAACTTGGTGTATTGCGCACCGGCTGACAGTGAAGTATCGGATCTACTGAGGGCAATGGACGCAGAGGATGCGATTATGGCAAAGAAGAAGCAATTCCCAAATGAGAAGATGGTGGCAGAGGTGGGCTCTGAGCTTCTGGGCAAGGGACTTAGACGGCTGTGACAGGCCCTGTAAGATATTAGACGGCGTGGCGTTGGGCGTTGACACCGTCAAACAAGTGTCGGGCTGTCTCTACCAAGTAGGTTTTTGTTTGCATAGACTATTTCTTTACTGCAACTTCACATTCGAGCTGACCACATGACTTATTTTCTTTTCTCAGTCAACGGGGCAGCGCCTCCTTCTGAATCCGTTGTATTGGCCGGGTCTCCTCTTTTTCTTCATTGCCATCTCACTGCATCAACTCAACACGAGTGCCAGTCGACCGAATTCTTGTCCGCAGAGGCAATACGTACCGCCACCCCTGCCGTCTACCCTAGGCGGACAGCACACCGCACAGGAAAGCATGGTGCCCCAGCAACTCGGCCCCACCAGACTTGTACCCAATCAGGCAACTAAGTAAACAAGCCCGACCACCTCGATTTGTGATGTGGGCCTCACAACGACATCGATACCGCACAATCATCGACGAACTCAAGCAGGCTTTGCGAGAATTATCTCTCGATCACCGACTGCTTCCGCCAGTGGTTTCCGAGATGCCGTCTCTATACTCGTCTGCTTCAACCCCGTCGCTGCGGTCGCACGATGGGCCGGTCAAGGTGGACGGGGGAGGCAATGTCCGGGTCGTCGTTCGAGTCCGGGCATTCCTGCCCAGAGGTGAGAGGCTCATCGATACGAACCGAACGAGGCTGATCAGATTCTGCAGAAATCGAGCGCGGTGCCGAGTGCCTGGTAGAGATGGACCCCATCACCCAGCAGACGACGCTGCGAGTGCCGAACGACAATGACCCAGCGAATGCGAAAGCGAAGGCCCGAAAGATTATAGAGGAGAAGACATTCACTTTCGATAATTCGTTTTGGAGCCACGACATCAATGACAAGTACTATGCACACCAGGAGGAAGTCTACAACAGCCTGGGCGAGGAGTTCCTCGACCACAACTTTGAGGGCTACCACACCTGCATCTTCGCCTATGGCCAGACGGGTTCCGGCAAGAGTTACACGATGATGGGTACGCCAGACCAGCCGGGCTTGATTCCCCGAACGTGCGAAGATCTCTTCGAGCGAATCGAGGCCGCGCAGAACGAGACGCCCAATATTTCCTACAATGTCAGAGTTTCTTACTTTGAGGTGTACAACGAACACGTCCGCGACCTGCTGGTTCCGGTCGTGCCACACCAGCCGCCCTATTACCTCAAGATCAGAGAGTCTCCGACGGAGGGGCCGTACGTGAAGGACCTGACCGAAGTGCCGGTTCGGAATCTCAACGAGATCCTGCGGTACATGACCATGGGAGACAGATCGAGGACCGTGGCCAGCACCCGGATGAACGACACTAGCAGTCGCAGTCACGCAGTCTTCACCATCATGCTGAAGCAAATCCATCACGACATGGAGACGGATGAGACGACGGAGCGCAGCTCGCGTATCAGACTGGTCGACCTGGCCGGCAGCGAGCGCGCCAAGGCTACCGAGGCAACGGGCCAGCGACTTCGCGAGGGCAGCAACATCAACAAGTCGCTGACAACGCTCGGTCGAGTGATAGGGGCCCTCGCCGATGCCAAGCCGGGCTCGAGAAAGCGCAACAAGGATGTCGTCCCGTACCGAGACTCGATCCTCACGTGGCTGTTAAAGGACTCGCTGGGAGGCAACAGCAAGACGGCCATGATCGCCTGCATCGCGCCTTCGGACTACGAGGAGACCTTGTCGACGCTCCGTTACGCAGACCAGGCCAAGCGTATCCGCACGCGTGCGATTGTCAACCAGGACCAGATCTCGTCTGCGGAGCGCGACGCCCAGATTGCCGCCATGGCGGAGGAGATTCGCGCCCTTCAGCTCTCAGTTTCGGAGTCGCGACGGCGGGAGAAGGACACCAAGGAGCAGGAGGAGAAGCTGGAGGAGTACCAGAACCATGTTGCCACGATGCAGCGCATGATGGAGGAGCGCAGTCTCGTCGCGGAGGGCAAGATCCGCAGCCTGCAGACGGAGAACGAAGCGCTGCGATTGCACCTGAAGCTCGCACTCGAGAGCCTCAAGAACCCGATCCCGGCCGTCACGATCAATCCGCCGCAGCCGGAGGAGGCAGAGGGCAACACTCAGGACAGATCGGCGGAGTCAGACGACAAGGAGAAGGCAGACGATGGCGAGTCATTATACGACGACTCAGACGACACGGCATACGACTCGGACGTCATGGAGAACAATGCCAGCGACATGCAAGAGTACATGCGCAGCCTGCTCAGCGACCTGGGCATGTTCCGCAGGAAGATTGGAGACGACAAGGAGCGCTGGGTCGTGGAGAAGGCAAGCTTGGCAACCAGACTGGGCGTCTAGAGACGCGGAGAAGGAATGTCGGATTGGGTTATTGATAGTTGTACAAAGTGTCAAGATCACGACGGTAAGCAGCGTGGTGTTTTAGGAGTCTTTAGTATTCAGGGATAGGGCTGCTTAGGACGAAAATTGCATAGTATGCGCGCCAACATATGTGTCCCCATTTCATACGGGCGCCCGGGACCAGGACAATACGGCAGAGATGAACTGGGAACCGCTTTCCGGGATCAGGTGAGACCTCAATGTCCACGTCACGATTGAAACCTGTAGAGTACGACCCGTCCAGCCAGATTACGTCCGTAGTAGACGTTCGTCCTTCTTGACAGGTTCTTTTCCACACAGACCGGATCCCAGACCGGGCTTCGTTCGGCGGCTCCTTGTGAGAGAGGCCGGGCAGGTAGGTCCCAGGCAGTTTGGAAATAGGGATGCCGCTGTCAGGGCCGGGGCCGATCAGACTAGGAGTCAGGGATGTAGCATTAGGAAGGGACGACGACAAACAAGCTGGTGAACTAAAGTTGCCGTGCTATATGAACTGTGGGCTACAGAGTGGAGAGTCCGACCTAGACTTGCAACATGGTGTAACCTGACGAGTTGACGCGCAAACGCGCGCGAAGTGCAGGATGCTATAGGAGATGTGGGACATGATATCTTACTTGGCAGCACGTATACTGCGAGACAGCACATAAGCTAGTCCCCACCCCCCTGACACCCCGCGATGAGGGAAAGGGGGGAAGTATAAATGTAAGCGAGAAGCTTTAGGCGTGGAGTACTCGGTTTGGTGTGGTGTTTGACATTGATTGGGCAGACGCCTTCGCGATGCAGAGGCCCGATCAAAAAGCCTGAATTCTGGGGGGGGCTCGTGGTCCGTGAAACTGGACGTCAACTACACTACCCAGCTGCGGGAGGGTGAATTGCGTTGGATTGCTTGGGATTGCCACGGCAAACGCATGCATGGGACGCCCGCGGCTGACGAGTATCTGATCTGCGATCTACACCACGCCCGGCTAAGCGGCAGCCATGAAAACCAGACCCTGCGACCTCTCCTGCTCTATTCAATATATTTAGGAGGTTGGAAACTGCGTGGCCGTATGATTGAAAGTAACAAGAGGGCAGAAGCTCCAGGAGGAGAGGGGAACAATAGCGGCGCTGGGCCAGGAACCCCAGGACTACGGACGAGAATCCCTGCACATCATGCTCCGCGGAATTTGTCCAGTGCCTTCCTGCACCTCTAGGCTACGTGCGTACGGAACAAGCAAATGTACGGATCGACTGACGAGTTGCCAATGAGGCTCAGGGTCGGGAAGCGAGGGGCCGATAGAGTGTGGGATGTGACGACGTGCCTAGAGTCAATTGGATATAATGGGCGTGTGCCCTTTACGTGCTTTGGTATCGCGTGTCAGCTCAGACGTTGCGGACGGGACGCCAAGTGGTGTGCCCGCACGGTAGTGCTGTAGTCCGGATTGGCGAGGGCATCATCGGGGACCCGACACCCTGGGTTCCGGGAGTACACTGCGCAACGATTGGCCGGCAGCCCAGAAGGCAAGGGCTTTCTCTGCATATCACTGCCTCGGCAGACAAGGCATCGTTTCCAACGGCACATTGGACTGTGTCTTGTCGAGTTGGACGGACGTGTGGACGTGGCTATACTGCGACTCCTATTCCACTGGACTCCATATGGAACCCGCAACTGGCCCCGATTCGCTTCGGCGCTGGGCCGTATTTCCACGGCACGGCACAAGCCTGGGCCCCGGTCCCTGTTCCCAGATTGATCTGCCCCCAATTGATTAATCAATCCCCCTGATTGTCTCTCCCTGTGGTTATGCAAGCTCGCACTGAGATGGTCGTGAGGGCGCAGCAGAGCAACAGCAGCAGCAGCAGCAGCAGCAGCAGCAGCAGCAGCAACAACAACAACCTTCTCGAATGTGAACCTGAAGGTTCCGTCTTTGCTTCTCCTGCCCATCTTAGTTGCCGCATGCTGTCACTGGCCACGATGATGTTTCAGGGCAGTAAGATGTTCCCACCAAGGTTCTCTAATCCCTGGGGTAGGAGGGGGCACCGCTGTCCTTTTAGCCATCTTTTCACTCAGTAACAGCTCCAAGGGTCGCCGTTGCTACCTACTTCTGGTCGAGATAACAGTTGCCCCTAGCGCCCTTGATCAATTGTTTTCTAGCGTTAGTTCCAGCATCTTCGGTGCACGTCTCCAAAGACGGGACGGATGGCCGTGGGCGCTGGCTGTCGCAAGGACGTCGCCACGATTGGTTGCCCTTGGTCTATTTGTCTGGCTCGTGTCGTTGAGCGGCGGCAGGCAGAGTTGCTCTGATCGCAGCGGTGGCGGCAGCAGCAGGCATCAATTCTTCAACCTTGCTTCAATTTCTGGTGCCCCAAGGACCGAGTAGTAGCACGATGTAATGTGGTTCGGATCCCGTAGCGAAACTGAGGCGATCCACGTCCTTGCTGGAGTCCCATCTCTCTCTCTCTCTCTCTCTCTCTCTCTCTCTCCAAGAACGCTCTGCTCTGCTGACTGCTGACTCTCCGGCGCCATTCGCCAAATCTTGGACAAGGTTCCCTGCCCTGTTGCGCTTCAGACCTCAGATCAGAGGGCTTTCGACCGGATCCCGATGTTCCCTGTTCAATCTCCAGACAACCCGTTCTCTTGGATGCGGTACGCAGCGGTACCTGGCGCTGGGATGTCCCTCAGCCAAGATGCCTTGTCCCTCGAACCGAGTGTCGTCTTGGCTGGAGTTCCCCTGGAGTCCCTAGTCCCCTCTCTCTCCTCTTGCCTCCCCCCCCCCCCCCTGGCGATGTACAGACCTTGCCTTACAGACCTTGAAGCACAACCGTAATCTTCTTGAGGAGTCCTCGTCTCGGCCACGCCACGAGGCGAGATGAGACGGACGACACCTTATTATCCTTACCGTACGCCGCCATTCACGTCTCCTCCTCTTCCCCCCCTTTCTCTCCACCGCCTCTCCCTCGGTCGCCGCCCTGTCGTGTGTGTAACTCCCATCACTCTTTATCATCATCCTACTGGATCCGCACGTCGAGTCATTCAGAGTTGCACGGAATCTCTACTGCGTACGACCACCCCCAGCCCCTCTCCAACCCACATTGGCAGGTGCTTTGGTTCACAACCCCGCGGGTTTCCAAACTCGTCCCGGGCCCTGAACAGATCGGCACTGGAAGGACGCAAAAGCGTCAGAGTGGCAGCATTTCAAGGGCATCTTTGTCTGATTCCGATATCCCGTCTCGTCTCGTCACCTCTTTCGTTATCCTTTCTCTAATTCCCAGCCCAGGGCACCGTCGCTCAATCGCCAAATCCCCACCGAACGGCCCTTTGATTGGTGTATCCCAAACAGCCCCCAAGCCACCTCCCTCTCGTACCTCCCGACCTTTCCAGCCAGGTCCAGCACCATCCACTGTGCTGTCCACATACCTACCTAGGAGAGACACCGGGCGGGCAACGGTCAACAACCATCCCGGTCTCGCATATCCACCTTGGTGTACATAAGCTGTTCCGCACCACAAACGGGCCTGCCCACTTCTGCCCCTCGTTGCTTCATCGGGCACCGTCGCATCCCCCCGAGCCAACCAACGACCGGCTGCCAGATCAAGGGCTCCAGTAACAGTGTCCGCCCCTCTCGGCCACGCCTACCCGACACCGATCCCCGACCAGGTGCAATAACGACTTGCGTGAACCGCCGTCCGACAGTCCATCCATCTTGAGCCGACACTCCGTTTCGACACCTCTTCCTGTCGCTTCGATTTCCACCTCTGTCCTTCTTTTACTTTTGCTTCTCCCGTAAGCTCTCGCACGACGACGACCATACCATGGCTGCCAGACCCGCGCTCTTCACCCGTGGCCTCTCGGGACTCTCCCAGAGCACCACCGCCGACCCCAACTCGCCCAGCGTCAGCTCTCCGGCCGACCAGCGCGACGATGCGAAGCGCAACTTCCTCAAGGCTATGCGTCCTCTGCCGACACAACACTACTGGAACGTTTATTTTGATAAGTGAGTCCCTCCGCTGCCACGGCATATTGTGCTGTCGGTTCATGGCACTCCCCGCAGCCTGAACCCTTGAGACTCCACTCGACTAATCCTCAACCCCCTCCTCCAGGCAGGCGAAGGATCAACAGAAGGCGGGCGGCGATGAGGAATATAAGGTGCAGCTGGAGCAGCTCGGCTCGCAGATCGAGTCTGTCCAGGACTTTTGGAAATACAACAACAACACCCCCGTCGACCAGATCAAGATGCGCGAATCCATCTATCTTTTCAAGCAGGGCTTCAAGCCCATCTGGGAGGACCGTCGCAACATCAACGGCGGTGCCTGGACCTTCCGTGTGCCCAAGGCCATCGGGCCCGACGTGTGGACCCGTGTGCAGCTGCTAGCCATTGGCGAGAAGCTGCAGAGCGTCCTGGATGATAGTAAGCCTGCCTCCCCGCTCGTCCAGCAAGTGATAACTGCTAAAAAAAAGCACCTTCCAGACGACCAGATTTGCGGTGTCGGCCTGTCAGTCCGTTTCAACTCGCACCTCATCTCCATCTGGCACCGTGACGGCTCCAAGCAAAAGTCCATTGATGCCATCCTCGAGTGCGTACTCGAAGAGCTCCCCGCCGAGCTGCGTCCCAAGGCCGACAACTACTTTTACAAGCGTCACCAGGACCACGCCGGCTTCAAGGCCCCTCCTGAGCTCCAGGCCGTCATCGACTCTCAAAAGGCCGCCGCCGAAAAGGCAAAGGCGGCGGAAGGCGCAACGGCTTAGAGGGCAGACTGCGACCCTCCTCCGCACTCTGCTCCCCTTTTAGGAGACCGGGGTCTTTGAAAAGCGAGCTAGGCTGCGGGATCATTTTCCACTTTTGTTTCCCTTGTCTTCTTTTGCACATAAGGAAACTGGTCGGATATGAGAGATACCCTCTCTCCTTGGCTTCACCTTGCCAACATACGGAAGTGTAATTTCTTAGGGATTTGTAAAGAAGAGGATGTCCCCCTCTCCCTCTCGTGCCAGGCCGTGACACGGTATACCAGGGGAAGGGCGGTTATATGCATATTTGAAGGGCGTTTTTATGAGCATGGAAATCCACGCGGGGGTGATGGGGTTCCCACGCCCACCGACGGCATGCGGGCTGCGCTGAGATCAGATAGAATCGTTATTACTAGTACCGCCTACCAATGACAGGTCTACAGTCCAACACAGAGAGAGAGCTAGCTTGTACTGTCAAACTCAACCAGTAAATGAGTTCGGTGGCAGTAAAAAAGATGGATTCGATTCCTATACCCACCAAAGAGACTTGAAAGAAAAAAAGAAAAAGAAGAATCGACACCAGTTCCCCTTCCCGTGCTTTCCCAAAACGCCAGGCTCCGTGGGTATAATGCCAGACCAAACAGCAAAGCTCCCCCTCCCTAATGTATCCTTTCATCTCTCGCCAAACCCTCCCTATTCGGCGGCCCCCCCCCCCCCCCCCCCCCCCCCTGCTCTCCGTTACCGCCAAACCCCGGCGCGGCGCATGACCTCCTCGAACTCCTCCTTCTTCACGCCCTTGCCCACACCCGCGCCGCCGTTGGCCTCGAGGATCATGTCCCGCAGCACCTCTTCCTTGACGTCCTCCCTCAGCACGCTGGCGACCCTCTTCAGGTCCGCGATCGTGATGACGTCCCGCGGGCCCACGGCGGCGGCGGCGGCGGCGGCGCCGCCCGCGCCCGCCCCGGTGAACAGGGCAAAGGCCTCTTCAACCTCGCGCCCCCTCTCTTCCATGCTGCTCTGCTGGCCCCGCTGGTGGTACTTGAGCGCGCAGACGGCGAAGAAGGGCTCGAAGTCGACGAACCCCTCGCCGTCGGGGTCCAGGATCTCGACGAACTCGGCCTGCTCCTGGCGCGTCGCGGGCGGGATGCCGAGCGCGACGAGGCAGGACCGCACGTCCGCCGTGGGGATCACGCCCTCCTTCGGGCGGCCCTTCATCGGCTCGGCGAAGAGGGAGAAGGCCTCGCGGATCTCGCGCTCCTCCTGGGCCGAGATGTTGTGCTCCTTGGCGAGCTTCGAGGCGCGGGGGCGCGGCACGTCCGCGGCGGGCGGACCTGTCGTCGGCGGTCTGCGCTTCGCGGGCTGGGGGAGGGAGGGCAGTTAGTTTGAATCCAGGTCTGGCCGGCCTGTTGCGGTTTCGCGCAGGCGTGCAGGCATGTGAGTGAGAGAGATTGACAGAGATGCTCACCATTGCGGTTGATGCGGGTTGGATGTCGCTTGGTTATTTTTTTTTCTTTTTTCGTTTTGTTGCAAAAGCTGCTTGAGCGCCGGCGGAGGACTCGCGTGCGCCGTCTTGTCCTCTAGTGATGGTTGTGGTCGAGGCGGTCGGTGGTCGATGACGATCGTTGGAGGTCAAGGAAACGCAAGAGACGCGTTAATGGATTGTGACGGGCCCGTCACCGGCGGCGGCGGCGGCGGCGGGTACCCGATAGACAGTGCAGAGCACCGCGTGCGGATGCCATTAACACACGGTACAGAGCCCCGCCGGCGAAAATCCTCACCCGTATAAATTCGCGTCTGCAAAATTCTTCCGCTAATCCGTAACGCCCTACTCCCACCATCTCACCACCACCACCGCCGTCTTCTCGCGTTGCCAGCAAACCCCAGCGCGCCGTCTCAGATGCCCATGCCGTCAGGTGGCTTCTCGATTGCAGGAGCCACTCGGGTCGACCGCGCCCCGGCATGAACCGATGGGAGGTGCTATGCGCCCGCCGGACCCGCGGGTGGTGTTTCCAGTTCGGACCTCGTTAAGATCGGGCTTTCCATCCTCTCGGCTTCCGGGTGCTTTCACAAGCCACGCGCGTCTTTGTCGTGAACGTCAGCTTCGAATCTCTGGACAGGTCGTATTTCTGCGCCGTTTCCCGACCCTCTCCCCCAAATCCATGCGAGAAGGGCGCCGCAGCTGTCAAGCTAACGGCCCACACATGGCCCAACGCGCTGATTTCTCATCATTGAGACGGGATGTCCATGCCGATCCGGAGCCAAGAGCTTTCCCCTTCCCAGTGGACCCGGGAAACTCAAACCAAATCTCCAGCCAGACGGAGGTGTGGAGAGGAAAGAAGAAGAGAAAAGGAAAAACATCAGCTTCTAAAAAATGCTAGAGCTTGCCGCTTTAAACCCAGAGCGAGCACGTGTGGACAGTGAAGCAAGATCAAACAAACGGGGGCCTCCGCAGGACGGACGTCTCTTCCCAGGGCTGCACTCTTGCCTCGTTCGACCCCGGTCGATGGGGCGCTTAGGGCCTCTTGGGAGACATATCGTGAACCATGCCTAGAATATAGAAAGATGTGATACTTCTGTGCTGTTATCTTGTGGTGTTCCAAGTTACATAGCCGGGCAATCCCCCCCCCCGCTTGCTGCCATCCCCTCTTCCACCCGGGATGCGTGACGGATTATGCTCACAGTCATTTCCGTGCCGCTGCCACTTGCATATATCCATGGCTGTCCCCTCGATCCTAACTCTGCAACACCATCCCCCAAGACGTATCAAATCTTAGACTCGGGAGGTGGACTGTGTCGTCAGCTCAGGCCCCAACTGATTTGGCATCGGGCTCGTTGACAACTACAACTGCCGCAAAATAGCCGGTGTCAAGGAGATGTATATTACTTACTCACTTGAAGTTGTTCTTCATCTCGCGCAGCTTGGCCATGACGGCCACGGGCTCGTTCTCCCCCGTGACCTTTTGGATCTCGGGGTCCTGTGCATGCGTCAGTCCTCCCTTCCTGCTCTAGCCCCCACGGGGGCTGCAACGCAACTCACCTCGACGCGCATAAAGACGTTGTGTTTCTATCGAGATCATGTCAGCCGTCTCCTGACTCGAGCCGTGCAAGCCCGGAGCCCAGGGCGATCAAGACCTACCTTCTCGTCGCCAATCGTGAACTTGCCCTGCGTCTCCTTGTTGTTCTCCGCAAAGGCCTGCAGCTTCTGGATCGCCTCGTTCTGCAGCACTGACGCAGCGAACTTGACGTTTGACTTTGTGTACTCATGGCCGGGCTGTCTCTGGTCAGCAACCTGACCCCTCGGAGTGGGACGACCGTCGGCAAAAGACTCACAAACACGACCGTGTCGTCTGGCAGCGAGGCCAGCGTCTTGTTCAGCGCATTGTGCATCTCCTCGGCGTTGCCCTCAAAGAACTTGCCGCAACCTGCGATACCCGGCCAGTCAGCAACCCAGTCTCTCTAGCCAGTTCTCTCGCCCCCGTCCGCGTGCGTCGCGTCCGACACGATGCAGCGCGGCCGACATCCGGAAGAGATCATGGACCCACCGCTGATGAAGAGCGTGTCGCCCGTGAACACAACCTTCTGCTCCCCGTCCTGCATGAACCAGCAGATGCTGTCTTGCGTGTGGCACGGCGTGTGCAGCGCCTTGACGGCGATGCTGCCAATGTTGAACGACTCGCCGTGGCCTGGCGTCCTGGTCACGCCGTCGCAATTCTTGCCACCGATGATGGGCAGGCTCTCCAGGCCGAGGTCGCCCAGCTGTGTCTGGTCAGCACGCACCGTGGTGAGCGGTGCTGGCATCGGCGACTTACGAGCTGCTTGTTCCCGCCTGCATGGTCCCAGTGGCTGTCGACGTGTCAGATGCGTCCGCGTCACCGGGGCAGAACGGGGGTCAGGGACTCACTGGTGCGTGTTGACGATGGCCGTAAGATTGATCTCGCCGCCCTTGATGGCCTTTTGCAGCACCGGGGTCACCCTGCGCGGTGTCTGTCAGTGTGAGAACCCTCATTTCAGCTCGAAAGCGGCAATACTCACTCGGGCGGGTTGGCTGGGTCAATGATGACGGCGTCGTTGGTCTTGTCGTCCTTGACCAGGTAGGCGTAGTTGTTGCTACTGCCCACCCCTACAAGCCCCTCGAATCAGCATGTGGCTCTCGCATAGCTGCACGGCTGCCCCGGAGGTTCATGAAAGTGCCCGACTTACACATCGGAATAGACTGGATATGCATGGCGTTGGTGAACGTGAGCTGTCCATGATGTAAGCTAGCCGCTCGCCCATCACGCACCCCCACATTTAAGGGCGTCGGATTTTTACGTGGAGCACTCACTGCGGCTGTTACGGTACCGAATTTCTGTCTTAGAAAAGGCCTCCTTGCGATGAGGGTATTCATGAAAGGCAATTGCACGGTAACTGTGTAGTGTTGGGCGATATGAGCGGCAGAGTTTAGTGACGTCGTTATGCTGTAAATCCGCGGGCCAGCCCATCCGCTCCCCACCTCTTTCTTCGTTTAGGTAAGCTACCCCCCGCCCACTTTGTATCTCCATACCCCACGTGACTGCAATGGCCATGGCAATGGCTTCACTTCAACGTCCGTTCCAGGAGCAACATATCAGGGGCCGGCTGCACTGGTGTCGAATAATCACGTAGTATGACGCATTTCGGCGTACCTGAATGCCTCACGCGACGCCAATCGGCCGCGGCTTCCAAGTGCCCACAAACTTCGCCCATCCCGTGCCACCGCTCTCCTGAGCCTCCTCGATTTCGAGGTCGTCCGCAGAGTCCTCCACGACGTCTTGCGTCTCCGCCGCGAGAGCTTCCTTCGCTTGTGCTATCTTCTTCTTAATTTCATCCACCTTCCTACCCCTGTCCCTCTCATACTCTGGCCCTACACCCTCAATGCCCTTCCCTTTCAGCAGGATCCCCTTTGATAGCCGCAGTGCAGCAAGCTTGATGGCGTTGCTCGGTGGAGCCTCCGCGATCTTGTCCAGCGTAGTGAGCAGCCGGGACTTATCGAGCCCGTCGATCCAATTCTTCATCTCGGCGCGCCGTGCTTCGTCCCGCTCCTCGAGGAACGCGATCACGACCGCACGGCCCGCGGCAGCCGTAGCGACGCCGACCTTCCTCTCAGGAACCACGTCCTCGACGCTCTCCTCCTCGTCAGGCCCCAGGTGTTGCCAGTAGTACTCCCAGATCCAGACCAGTGCCTTGCGGGCGGCGGATCGCAGCTTCGCGAGCGACGGCAGCGTCTCGTGCGTTGCCTGGTGTCGCAGCTCAACAAACGTCGCCGGCAGACCGATGGTTTTGGCAACCGAGTACATGCTCAGCTTCCGCTGCTTGTCCTGGTGTCCGTCCAGGAGCCCGGTCACGAACCTAATCGAAAAGAATGTGTGAGCAATCACGGATCAACGGCATAATTGGCCAGCAGCTTGCGAAGCATCCAAGGGGCAAGGCAACCCAAGCAAAAGAGAGCCGCAAGGAGCTCGGGCTCAAACACGAGTCGGCCCTTTGGCCGGTGCCGCCAAAGAGGGGGGCGCGAGACTTCGCAGATCTCGGCCAAGAGGACGAGCGGGCTATGGGAATTTACGTGTCTTGAGGAAAGAACCCAGATCTCCCCGATGCTAGGAATGTCTGTCGGACCACTGGCCAGAGTGCACACTTGCGCGACGGGAACAAAGTGAGACGAGAAGCGAACTAAGACGGGAGTTTGCGGGGAGAATAAGGGTGTGCTGGTTAAGCAGGTCGTCAGGGCACTTCGGGTGACTGTGCCCTTCATCAGACGGGCCGCGTGAGCTGCTCTGGGTCCGGGCCCGGGGGTCGTGGGAGGAGTGCTTCAACATCTAATGTCCAAAAGAAGGCAGGGCGTAAGACACTGGGAGTGACGGGGGGTGAGTGAGCATGGGGTGGTAACGATATGAAAGGCAAAAGAGAGGTGAGATGTGAGCAGCTGCCAAGGTCTAGAAACGAGAGTGCAGGGGGAAGAAGGGCGCCCGATCCCTAGAGGACTGGATTGTTTCATAGCCACCCAAGGGGAGGTCCAAGGTCAAGGAGGCCTGGAAGGGGCAGTGTGGAAGACGCCCAGGTAGGCTTTCACGCACTTGTAGCCAGCGGCCTCTGGCCACCTGTATTGAAGAGGGACGGAGACAACGACAACGGAACGTACCGGCTGAAGGCGGCGGCGTAGGCGGCGCGGACAGCGTATGTGCCGGCGCTGCCCTTGCTCTCCCCGTCGCTCAGGATGGCGGCCGTCAACAGGGCCGTCGATTCAACCATGTGCGGGCAGTTGCCGCGCTGCATCCACATCGACACCCTGGCGACGGCATGATGCTGGGCTGCCAGGAGCCCGTCGTTGTCGACGCTAGAATAGCTGCTGCCGCTGATGGCGCTCGTCGTGCCCGTCCTGTGCTGGTGGTGCTGTGAGGGCGGTGCTCCTGTAGCTGAACCCGGAGCCGGCGCTGGCGCTCCTCGTGTTGATGGTGCCGTCGGTAAAGCGAGCGCCGATGCGCGTGCGAGCGCTGTTGCTGTTGCTGTTGCTGCTGGTGCTGGTGCTGGTGCTGAAAACGCAGGGGCCACAGGCAGCGGGGCCGCGGGATAGAACTGTTGGCGAACCTTGAGCAGCTCGCGGCGATCACGCCATGGCGTCAGTATGTACTGGACCATTCTGATGCGTAGTGGGCGTGTGTGCCGCGAACGAGTGCAAGTGTGATTAGGCGTCTGGCCTCCTCCTGCGCCGAGTTCACCCTTTCCAGAGATACGACACCCTAATCCGGGCTGGCCCTCATGAATGCGATTCGTACCGGCGGTGGCAGGGAGGGGCTAGGCCTCGGAGGAACGATGTTTCACCGCACTCCCAAAAGCTGATGGATTCTGTCGGTGGCTCGAGTTCTTGGCGTGGCGGCTTGGGGAGGCCGATAGTTGCCCAGACGGATCTCGGAATTGTTTGTCTTTTTTTCTTTCTTCGAGTCTTTGCTGACTGAGTCGCAAGTCTAAGTGATCCAAGGGGGTGTGGCCTAAGGAAGAAAAAAGAAAAAAAAAAAGCCAAAAGAGTCTCCCCTAAAAGTGTAGAGTAGGGGGGAAAAAAAGGGGAGAAGTTTGGAGACCACAAAAAATTCCCCGATTAGTATCGTGCGTAGCGTGCGGTGAACTGAGATCGGATACACTACCAACAAGACCCCAACTCACATCAGCCAAACTTCTGGGACAAGCAGCGCCACGCACATAGCACGCACATAGAACACGCACACCAGCAGAAACACAATCCAGGGGCAACCCATTCCAGGCGGCGCTCGCACGGCTGTCTAGGCCAGCCCGGTCGGTCATTGGACATCAGACGAGTCGTACTTTCAGGTCGAGTATGCCTCCAGCCTTGAACGTCACTGCCCCCGATGCTGGGCTGCGAGCCTGAGAAGCGTATTATGGCGTGTCGAGCCGAATTTGTCACCAATCACTCAGCGATGGCCGCATGCCTCAGCTGGGATGGATTCACCTTTGATCTTCACAAGCCAAATCGTCTGAACGTTTCCACCTACCAGCACACGGCCGTTGGCCGACCGCTGTATGAGCTGATGCAATGTTCGGGTTCGCGTATGAGATGAATCAAGACCAACGACGAAGTATCGTGACACGGCAGTGCCTCTCCTTCCCCGTGTTCCCGTTTAAAGTCCAAACCATGAACAGTTTTCTATAGTGCCCTCACCAAGGTGCCGGCATGCTTTACTTTGGCTTCGCAACAGCAGATACCCGGTAGCTGGGCATCCGGCCCGACAACGACACCTTCCTCAGACAAGGGTCTTCACAATATGGAAGACGCCGTGCCGGTCATGGCTCCAGCATGCTGGGGTCAAGGGTCTTGGACTTCGTGGGTGCGAGGCCGTCCTTCTTCTCCATGTAGAGCTTGTGCTGGGGCAGTGAACTCAACAGCACCTGTTGGGAGGTCCTTAAGGCAGCCTGCGTAGACGAACACTCTAATGAGTTGTGGAAGCCCCCTAGTGTAGAATAGTGTAGGAATAAGACGCCGAGGGAAGACCACAAGAACCCGTAGCCGAGTGGGTTATTGGGGGAACTCATGGACGGGGATGTCGGCGCGGTGCGAAGATCTTGCCCACCCTCACATCGGACTTCCTCGACGGCAGTGACAGCGTAAAGGACGTTGGCAGCGACCAAGACGGTCTCGTTCATGACTGGCGGTAACGTGGTGGATATGGCTGTGGGAAGGGGTCAGGTTGATGACCAAGGTGTGTTCGACCACCTTGGCGTCGAGGGTCCTGCCGCCGGCGACATTGAGCGAGATGAGCGTAGCGTGCTTGACGTCCTCGGACAGCTACTCATCGGACTGAGAGGCGTTAGTGAACAAAGCACGCACTGGCGGTTCGACGTCGAACGGAGCGGGAGGAGGGGATGTGTGTACCAAAAGGTGACAGGCATGCCGGCGCCGCCAAAGACCGTCGGCTGGGTCACGCTGATTGGTTGGCGAGGGACGTCCTCGGCTACCAATCTGGATGGTTCGAGAGAGCCAGGTCGCATGGATTTTATTTAGTTCATCGTGGTTGTATATCGTCGTGTGTGTGGCTATGCCTACTGCGTAGATCCGGTCAGTGTCGGCACTGGCACGGCAAGACCCAAACCGAGGCCCCAATCTTCTCTCAAACGTCGGAATTCGCGATTCGTGACCGACGACGACGATGCCGCGTGCGAGTGAACCTTCTTCTAGTTCAAAGTATCCAGGATGGGGTTAAACTGCACAGCTCGCTCGATCTGACAACGGTCCAACTCAGTGCTGCAGCGCAGCCGACTAAAGGTTCCCCGCTTTAATGCTGCCTTCCACTGTGGGCAGCACGGCAGAAGAGTGGAGGTATACAGTACGGCACACAGTAATCGGGGGCTGGCCGAGTGTGCCGGTGAGGTCACCAGGAGCAGCGGCCCAAGATTTTTTCTAGGGGCTACGGGCGGGGTGTTTCGAGACCTGGCAGGGCTGGCCAGAACGGCGGGGGTGGATAGGTTTCAACATACATGATTGGCTCATTGGAGGGATGTGACAGGGAAACACTGACCCATATGCAGCTCATGCCATGCCTCGACAGGGGTCGTGCGCGGGAGGCTCTTTCTCGCTTATTTTAGTGTCCGTGTTGACGATTGAACTTCGATCCGGCGCCGTCCTCTGATGCAGGTGGAATCGGTTGCGGCGGCTTGGGCCCCTCTCTTGTCAAGAAGTCAAGATGGACAGGGACAGCACAATAGGGTAGGCTAGTTGGAAGCGTTTTGTAGTCTTGATGTTTTGTGCTAGGCACGCTTTGTAATTATTTCTATCTCGAACAGTTCTTGGACTGCTTCTTCTGAAGGCGCATGGGCCACTTGGTCGGAATATATGCTTCCTCTCCATCTGGGTATATGCCTCTTTTGGGTTGCATCCACCACTCCTGGGTGGACAATGACGATATTCTTTTTCCCCATCCCTAGAGGCACCACAAATCCTTTGGTGTTACATCCTCCAATCGTACATAGTATACATAGTTTCTTCGTAAAATCATGATTGCTTGCGCGGGTCTTGTACCGTTCAAGGTACTCTTTGTCATTTGTGTCATTAATCAGAATCCTCGCCGTCAGCATCGTCCTGGTCGGCGTCCTCGTCATCGCTGTCAGGGGGCTGCCATGACTCCTCCAGCTTCAGGCCCTTGCCGGTACCCTCCTGGGGACGGTATGGCGCGCCGAGCAGAGAAGACATGGCGGACCGGGAGGCGTCGAGCTGAGGGTCTTGTTCGTACTTGTCTGGCGCGTCGTAGAGGCCCATGCCGACCAGGATCTCGCCCTCCTCCTCAGGCTCGTCCAAAGGTTGGTAAGGGATGGTGTCCTCATTCGGGACAATAGGTTGAGGCTGCTGAGCCTGCGGCAGCGTCTCGGGAGTGGGAGGAGAAGTGCTGGGAAAGCCGTCCATTGGGTACGAGTGCCAATGCGTGGAAGTGGAAGACGGCGTGAGGTCAGGCAGGGTAGTGGGAAGAGCCGGGAAGGGCTCTGCGTATCCAGCAGCCTCCGACGAGACGTAGGCCGGAGGGTCTTGCTGGGGAACGTTCCAGCCCTCCACGGGCAGATACGCAGCAGAGCTGTCGTAGGCGCCAAAGGGTAGAGAGAGGGGGAGAATGAGGCAACAGGTGATGTGTTGCACGAGTAAGCCGCTGGGGTGGGGGGGAATTGCGAATAAATGTTGTAGCTGTCGGTGTCGTAGGCCGACGAGGCGGGAGGGAACGGGTAAGAAGCCATGTACTGGGCAGCGGGCATCTTGTGCTGTTGGTGTTGGAAGGTGGAAGGGTGCCAGCTGAGAGGGCGGCTGGGTCGAGACTGAGAGCCATACTCAGGCATAGTGACTTGATCAATAGGCTGCTGCCTCCGCCTCGCCAAATTCCCGTCATTCACCACGGTCCTTCTCCTGGCCTGCATTGCTGATGACGACCTCGGACTGTTGTTGGCGCTGGTGGGCTTTGCTACACGCATAGCGTTTCCGTTCCGTTGGCCGTTGGAGCCCCTGGATAACCTCCGAGATGCCTGGGAGATGGCCATCTGTCTTGACAGGTCATCGAACAAGGCATCTGTTTGGTAGGCGGTCGGAACAGGTCCCGGGAGAACGCCTCCCATGAGTGTGGGCATCATCTTGGTCTTGTGGTGTTGTGGCGGTGGTTGAGAGGGCCGCGTTGTTTAATGTGATGAATGTGGATGAGCGGGTGAGCGCAAAGTGATAAAGCTGTTGCTCAAGAGGTGTGTGTGTGTGTGTGTGTGTGTGTGTGTGTGAGTGTGTGTGTGTTGTCGACGACTTGGACTGAGCAGGATGAGACGCGGCGGCGGATGGTGATGATGATATAAAGAAGTCGGAAAGGATGGGCTCGGCGCGGACTATGTACAGGAGGAAAAGAGGACGTTGCTCGAAAGGGCTCTCCTGCGTAAAGGGAGCGCAACTAGGGAAAGGACATGGGTGATACTAGATCGGTCTTGAAGGATAAAATCAAACCTTAGCTCCAGCCGGAGGAACAAACGCTCAACCATGGGTACGGAGTGGGCCAAGGGAAAAAAAAGACAACAAGTGCTTGAGAGACTACGGACGGTTTGGCATGTGTGCACGAAGAGGCAGCAAGCGTGGGTTGCGTTCATGGGGCGGATGTGAAGCTGATGGGAGGTATCCATCCGCTCAGCGAGTGCAGATGTCCCCAGGCGTGGCTGGGCAAGGGCGGTACGTACCGCTCCCTGCTCCTTTTTGCAAGGGTGCCTGGGAGTCCAAGGAGGGGGGCGGCAGCAGCCAGCAGGCTGCGTCATATGGGTTGGGCAGGGGTCTTGCAATTGGAGCGTTGTGCATTTCAAAGCCGAAGCAGACGAGGCGGCTGCTGCCCTTGGTCCCTGCACGTACGTATCTACCAGAGCAGGTAAGTACCTATTCTACGGCCGGGGGAGAGGGGGGCATGGAAGCACAGAAGGGGGGAGGGGCAGAAGGGACAGACGGGAAAAAGCATGGGACGGACTTGTCGATAGTGCTGGTGCGCGCGTGTGTGTGTGAGCGAAGCCGCAGTGGGTAAGAGGTGTGGGTGTGGACGTGGATGTGGACGGTTGATTGCCTTGCTTCGCTTTGCGCTGGTCTCTGGTGCGTACGCTACCTACTGTGGTACGGGTGGAGGAAGGCAATTGACAGAGGCAAGATTGGGATTAGGGAGGGATGGTGGATGGTCGAGGATGGAAGGAGTGGACGGACTGTGGAGCGGATCAGGTCGCGCTGCCAATCCGACACCGTCGCCCTTGTGCGGAGATGGTGTTTGGTGGTGCCCCCCTTCCTATTGTACGAATACAACGTACTCGACTATGGCCAGGTAGGTAGGTGCCGCCGGAGGTGTCCGCGCTCATGGTACGTACCGAAGATGGTGGGTTCCCTGTCGTAAACAGGTAAATACCACGAAACTGAACTGCACTACGGTGCTATGGCGGGATCCAAGACTCAGATGTCGAGAAAGGCAAATGCCTGCAGAAAGTGGGTACGTACCGCTCGGCCAGAGCAGGCAGGCAGGACAAGACAAGCCAGGGGGGACCGACAAGACAGGCGGGCAGCGGGCGGTCAGAGAGGCAAGGAAAGAAAAAAAGAACATGGATGGAATGCCTTTGGTCCAAAAAGAACCGCTCGGCCCAGGCGCTCACGCCTCCGGGTCGGAGTCTGGAGATGGCACCCCCCTGTTTGTGTCTCGGGCAACCTGCCCCAGCAGCCAGCAACTAAGGCACTTACTTGTCCAAGGCCAGCACCACACGCCACGGCCAGCGGCCAGCCCAGGGACCCAGTGGTGAAGAAGGGGTCCAAGGGGGACAACATGCCTCGGCGGCTTGGCCCAGGGGGGTGATTTTATTGCATTGAGCCGACGAGGTCCCCGTCATCGTCCAACCAGTTGTGGCCCGCCATCGAGGATCATGGTCCCCGCTCCCCAGCAAGCTTACCTAGTTTGAACTGATGGGTCAGACGAGATGGAGGCGTTGCAATATTACGCAGTACCTGTAGTTTAGCTCACCGGGGATCGAGGAGACTCAGGAAGGACACCACCCGCTCTTTGGGACCACGGGTCCATGTCCGCCATCCCTCCACCCGGTTGACAAAAAAGATGGCACACCTAAACACCCCCTGCACTATTATAGACAGCACAACACTAAATACATAGATATACCTACATAAAATAGTTAGAATTAATGCCAGTATGTTCTACCTACTATTAGATATATTTTTCCTATATCCTAACTGCGTCTTGTGGCTGTGTTAGCATAAGAAAAAAACACTTGTTAATAGTCTTGGGGTAGATGTGGTGTAAGAAAGTACTTTAGGTGTGCTATCTTTTTTGTCAACCGGGTGCCCTCCTAGCCCGTTGCCATCTTCTACAGCCCCACCTACGCCCTAGCACTCACTGCAATGTGTGTAGCGCAGATGGGGATGTACATCTTGCCTCGCATGTTTTTGGTGGTTTCCTCCAAAGTGCCATCCACCTGGCGGCTTGTTCATGACAATCCTGTAACCGAGAGATGGCCGGCTTTAACTGTGGGAAGAGGCGGATACGCATCCAACTCCGAGACGGGCGACCCGCAGGGTCTTGGAGACGAGATAACATCCCTTTTTGCTTCCATGAGCCCCCACTCGTAGCTAGTACGGAGTCATGGCATTCAGAAAAACCGAGAAAGACTTATGGCCGTACGGACACTTGGAACCTTCGTCTGGCTGGAACGAGAAAAAGGAAGGGGGAAAGGAGAGAGAGAGAGAGATAGGTATTCTGCACAGACACAGGAACCTAGACAGCTCACGATCTCCATCAGGGTCTGTTGTAGTATTACCGTACGCCGTATGGTACTAAAAGCACAAGGAACTTCGAGAAGACCACGGAGGTGGTTCCGCTCAAGGAAAGCCCCTGGTGCTAGACTAAGGACGTACCGCTCAGGTTGTCCAAAACCGTGGGTACGATGCACAGGCTAGATCGCGGCCGGGCATACGGTACATACATAGTGGGTAGGTTGCGGGTACGTACTTGTAGGAAAGCCCGCTTCAAAGTGGACATCGTCGCAAGACGCGCAAAAGACCGAATCATATGTTTGCTGTTGCTTTGATCCGTCAGTCGGCCGCAGGTCTGTCTGGTGCTCCCCAGACGAGAAAAGCTACGTCCCCGGTCAGTACGTATGCGAGATGTGTCTGGGTGTGCCCTGCCGTCTGCGTACCTGCCCATACTCGACAATGTTGAGCAGCAGCTCAAGGTACGAAACGGAACGTTGATTGTTTGCAACCATCCTGGAGGGAAGACAAACGGGGCGTGCGCCAGGATGGTGTGAGAATATCGAATCGAATCGAATGACAAGCCGCTTTCCAAAAGGATGGTAGGTGGGACGGCTGGGACCGGATCACAGATCTCGCTCAACCGACAGTGTTGGTTTGCATTTTGCCCACACACCCCTGACCCGAAGGGGATGGCTTCCAACGGCAACAGCCAGAGGGCTGTACGTGCACACGCGAGTTGCAGCCCAGGCTGTGGGTGGTGTGGGTAGGGGTGTAGCATTTTGTTTTCTTGTCACTTGGACCGGTTCCGTGTGATGTAGGGGTGTGGGCGTCAATGACTGGCGAAGGATGCGGGCAAGATCTTGGATGGAACGGGCCAAGGTCCAGGGCCAAGTGCCAGAGTTTCCATAAGCTCTCTCATCGTGAGAAGGTAAGCGCGTTGCGACTACCTTGTATCAATGGCTCGAGGTGTACGGTGGATTGTCGGCTCATTCGCTTGTCGGATGGAAGGTATCCCTCATGATAGTTTAGCAGGGCAGGTACAGCAGTGGTGTTGAGGTCACACCTGCTTGAGTTCTGTGTGGTGTGCAAGCCGGGTCTGGCGAAACCCATAAACCCAGCCGGAGGCGATGGATGCACGTCCTCCTAGACAGGAATGGAGTGGCAGGCGTGGTCGGCGCCCCAGTAGGCGGTGGACTGTTGACGATAATGTTGTGATGGTATCTGGATACGCAGGCTTTGACCACCCACTGGTCCCCTGACTGGCGGCGCCCAGCCGATATTGTAGTGTATCCAGGGTGTAGCCAAGCAGGCATACACTCGAGTCGCAGATGCAGGTGTCATCTACATCGAAGGTTCCAACCAGTCATGTGCTTTCCGTCCTTCACAGTCGACTCCCATCCTTGGTCGAACCCAGATGAATGGGGCAGAGAGGCGCGGTGTTGACAAGGGCGGGCACTGCAGGGCGGTCAGGAAATAGACGTGTTGGCGGCGTTTGGGCAGATTGCAGCAAATTGAAATGGGGGATGGCAAAGCCTCCACTATGGACCATGGATGTGGATGGCAGGATGGACTGTTGTTAGGTAGTGATGCTCCCGCAAATGGCCGCGGATGGGCTTAGCGACAAAGACAAAGGAAAGCCGTCGGTAAAAAGATGTATTGTGTGCATGGGCCTGCCTGGTCGAGAAGTACATGTATCGGGTACTAGAGTTTTCGTGTGTCGCGCAGGTAGTTGGGAGGTATCCTGGTACAGCACATACCCCTCCGTCTGGTCATCTCTGATTTTTGGCACACTTCGCACGCTCCGAGATTCCAGTATCGAAAACTACCCAGAAGCAAGAGTCAGCTGTTACCCAGAGTTTGATCAGATGCCGCGTCTCCCACATCCACTCGCGGCCCACGTAAATATACTAAGGCACGTTCGTGTGAGAGAATAAAACCCATAGTATGGTGAGAACGGACGGGAAATTCCGACAAGACAATCTAGGACACATAAAGGCTAGGGAGAGAGAGAGAGAGAGGATGACAGGACGGGGCGAAAGAGGTACGCGGGCAGTGGGGAAACAAGTCTACGGTACCTAACCTCACCCGTTATCTCCCACCAAGCGACATGTGTAAGGAACTCGGGGCAATACCCATGACGTTCAGACCTCGGGAATATGCAATCTGTGAGCAGACAAGTCCGCTCTACAACAATAATAGCATCGGCCAAGGACGGCAGGGCCCTCCACCCACTGGGGAGAGCAGTTGGAATTGGGAACAACATCCGGAGACGGACAGGGAGAGAAACAGCCTAGGACAAGGCTCCGGGACCCTCAGTAGAAGCAGGAGTTGTGTGCACTACTACAGAGGGAGGACGGATCCTGGGGTCCTAGACCCGGACAGACAAGGGGCTAGTCAGTCAAGTTTGGAGACTGCAAATTCTATGTTACCTGACTTGCCATGATTACCTAGCGTCTCCAGAAGTATACTAGTCCCGCAGAGTCAAAGCACAGTGGGCGGCACTTCGCAAACCCGCAATCAATCCCCACCCGAGCATCAAAGTTGCGCTGGTACAGGAAGCGCCGGTGACGGTTTAAAGGCCCCCCTCCACACATGGTAAGAGACAAGGAGGGAAGGACGAGGAAGGGTATGAAAAAAGAGAAGAAAACAAAAGACACAAAGACGCTAACTGCAGGGTAAAGACGGGATGAAGGGTAATGAAGGGAAGAGAGGGTCATTCTGGGCAGCCAAAGGCTAACTGGTCTTTGCTGGCGAAGGAGCGGACTCGAAAGAGAGTGGCCGGGGATGCGGTACGTTAGAAACAGAGGGAACTCGTTGACGGAGATTTGGGTTTTTTTTGACCGAGAGATCCCAATGCAACACTCGGCAACCACGAAACCAAGTGGCGAGCGCGTAAACATAGAAAGAAAGCACACTACTATTACAGTAGGTACCTACCCAGTGCATGCTTACCTACATACCTGGGCAGGTGCCCTCCTGGTGCTTGCACCGAGAGGGACACATCGAAGGCGGAGATATTGATACCTCAGGCATGAGCCCCGAGGCTGGCCCCCAGGGATGGCCGTCATTGATTGGCCCATTCTTGTCACCCCACCCTGAACCACCACAGACTCCTTAGCCACGCTCCGCACTGCGAGAAGACTTCGGCTTCGGATACGACGGCCACAAGACAACACATAACTACCTACCACCCTACTACCAGCTCGCCAGCTGCATGTCCGTCACCGTGTATCCATACCGCAAGTGGGGACGCCGTCAGCGCTGAGGCGAACCGCGATTGGAGCGAAATGATCTGGAGGAACCACGGCATGCTCAACAACCAGCGTCCCATCCCGTCTCGCGGCCCAGCTAATCTCACTCCATTTTTGGTTCAGGCCGTACCCCACCTTCCAGCGCTTCTTCAGCCCCTGCTCTCACTTTGGACGCTTCCCTGCTGTCGACGCCTCCAACTCTGTCTAAACCTACCAAACAGCAGGGGGCATAACAGGACTTTTTCGAGGCTCGTCCCCCCTAACCCCCCTCTCTCAAGGGAGCCCTTCTGATGGTGTAGAGGATGCTCGACACTGGACCAATGCCGGTCTAGCGACGCTTCATCACCTCAAGGGCTTGCGACCGCGGCTTTCCACCTCCGCCCTGGCTCCTTGTCCTACTCGTGAAAGAATCAGAGACGGGGCTGTGACAACGCTGGAAACTGCCCCGCGGCCGGTCTACTGTGTACCAGAGGTCTCGGTTGCCCTGAAGCAACCCTGACAAGGTTGTCAAGCCGCCACGCCCCGTCCTGCCGTGTTGACTTGGCCTTTCTACTTCTCATGGGTGTCGTCCTTCTAACATAAACAGCCGATGGCGTACTCTTCCAAGTTGACTAGCGGAGCTGTGCTATTACCTCTCGGCATTTCAAAGCTGCCACTTGCTTCAAAGCCTTGCACGAGAGCAAACCTTCTGTCAAGAGACAGCGATACGTCCGAAATGCGTGATACATCTTCCATGGACGACGGATGCTCACGTCAAACAGGAAGATCTGTGTCATACCAAGTTATCGGCAACCGAAAAAGCGTCTACGTCCATACAGGTACATGTGGGTGGACTCAGACGTCGACTTGGTCGCTGTGGGCTGTGCAGATGATCTTCCATTCAACATCAAAACCCGGTGCAACACACCGTAGCGTGCCAGGCAACTTTCGTAACAAATAGTGGACGTAGCCGCTTTGCCTGGTGGGCCAGCGTAGCAACGAGCCCTGTCCCTAGGCAGCTTCGAGAAGCCTGGAGTGAACAGGTGATCCCGGGGAGACACGCAGTGTACATTACTCTACTGAGAGTGCTACCTGAACAAGGAGAAGAGATTATGGGCATGGTTGTCCACGATATCGATAAAGGAATGGCGGGCGGTGGACACACACACGCCTGGTAAGATGCTGGGGCCAATTTCCACGTCACTACTCGCTTTGCATTACGAAGGCGTAAAATCCTTTTCCACAGGTACCACACAGCGTCCGCTCTCCTCCCCTTGGTTGGGCTGAATCAGACCAAGCATCATCAAAGCATCCACATGCATGGCACAGCGCCAGACTGGAAGAGACTAATTAGATTCCATATGCCTCCTGGATCTGGATCAGCACCCGACACGACACCCGTCCAATGGTGTCCACCCCTTCGCTCATTTCGTTGACGCCGAACGTACATCTGTCACCCTCCAGCCAGTGGCACCCGTCTCGGCCGCCGTCGAGTGCTCGCGCCTCGAGACTTCACACTGCACAACGCAAACCATCCAGGAGTCTTACAGTTTTAGCCTGAAGGCCAAGGGATCCACCCTACACGCATCGACGGCGGTCGGGCTGGACTGGTCCATTTCGTGATTCAATTGTCCGTTTTCCTGGCGTACCACTTTCAATTCGCCGCGGTTGCCAATTTCCTCGTCACAGGCCTAATACTGGGGGGGGGGGGGGGGCCACCAGAGTCTTAGTGTACCTCTCTACCCAGTCAGCCAGCGCACTCCTCATCTTTCCGGGGTGTAAGCTTCGGCCTGCACAGAGAGGATCAGTGTGTTTGTTGGACTGTCTTCTCCTCGAATGCGGTCCATATGCAATCAAAAGCCACGGGACCTTCGTGCCTTCTCTAGCATTCCTCGCAGCAGCAGCGAACCCCCCCCCCCCTTATGCCACCTACAGCCTCTGGTATGAGCAGTAGGCGGCCACAACATCCACGACATTCACCGTGCTGCACTGACCCAGACTCAGACCCAGTCTGCTTGGTGCCACTCCTACCGAGGATGCATATCTGCTGCACCCTCCTGGCTCTCGGCCATTTTGTATGCGGATACCCCCCCTGACCCTTGACAAAGTCTTCCCTCACCAGGCGCTTCTAGCGGCAGCACCGCCTTGCGGTTGAGTTGTATCAGCACCACTCAGCTCCATCTGCATGAGGGGGTTGGTTGGTAGCCAGGGTTCTATTCTCTTCGCTCCCTGCCGCTGCAACTACTGCAGCGTGCAGTTAGGCCGCACTTGCATCTGCACATGCCCTTACGTAGTACAGCACGCCTCTGCACGCAAACTCCTCAGACTGCTGTTACGGTGAATCGCACCAGGCATGGGAAATCGGCTTTGCCCCTTCTCCGGTTGGGGGACACAGTGGCAGCCGCCTGCGCAGCACGAAACATTGCACACGTGGCCCTCCCCATTTTACACCATCCATAGCCGGCAGCAACTTCATTCCGCCATGAGACCAAACCAGATGCGGCCACCAAACAAGAACACCCAAGTGTTTAGAGTGCTAACTGCTGCTCGGCACCCCTTTCCCTTCTACGTCTTCGGTGACGGCAGATCCCTCCCATCTCTTGGTTCGAAGCTCCTTCGCCTCATCCGTTCTCCCATCCGCCCTTTCGCCCCATCAGACGAAATTGCGCAGCGACGCATGTCAGGCTGGCTCGAGAAAATGCCGCGGGGATTGTGTCTCACAGCAGGAGCAGCTCGCCACGACGAGTGCAGGGCCCCCTTCCGTCGATGTGTCTCGACAGTGACTTGAGCGCGTCCAACATGGTCGGTCCTATATGCCAATCACGGCAAACGTCACTCATTCCAACGTTTCGGCTGACGCTTTGTCTTCGCCATGTTTCGTGCCTAAGCTTGGCTAGCTGCACCGGTATCTTAGCAGACAGCGGCAGGCCGGTTCACACCCCCTTTCTATGCTCCTTGTTGTTCCACAGGCGTCCCGCAGCCTGGACGGCCTTGTGCCGTCACATTCCCCATTCTGGCGTCCACGACTCGAGTGTTTAGTGGCTTTTCTTGATGCTTTCGGCCTTTCTCACCGAACAGATGACTGTCGTGACACACCCACCGATGTCCGTCCGGCATTTTTGCAGGTTGGTCAAGGCCAATTATCCACAAATTTGACTTGTAGACATCGTTGCCTCATCCAAGCACGTCCACACTTATGCATGCATCGACGCTGCGACGCAACCTCCCGTAACGCACAGCGAACACGCCCCGGTGAAGGCTGCGTGCGATGTCCCAATACCAACGTCGGGCATCATACATACTTGGTCGTCTGTTTGCCGCCGCAGGCTTCTGATGGACTTCCCCAATGTTCTTCTGAGACCAAGGACTAGGGCACAAAGCGAGCAGGCTTCGCAGAATTTCGTCAACCACAGCTAGATGCTGAGCTCCACGAACTACGGATACGTTGCAACGGTAACGCGAGCTGCTGTGCGCATATTATGTACACAAGCGCGGGAACGGATTGGTCATGAACCACTTCATTATGACTGTTCCGGGCTGCCAAATCAACCTAGCCAAGCCAGCGTCAACTCACGCACAGCTACTTGTGGCAGCCTGCCGCCTGCCTCCCTGAACAAGGACTTCGTAACCCTGCCTTGCCTGAGCTGTTTCGGTGCTTGGATCATCTAGCTTGTTCATCCAGGGCTTACAGGCGTGGTCAATAGCAACTTACGCGCCGACTCTCCATGCCTGACACGAACCAACGTACTAAGCCGCACCCTTTCACCACTGGACTGAGGTACGGCGCTGGCTGATCAGGAAGGTCTGACCACCCTACGGAGTAGTCTTGGCTTTCGGCCGCTTTCTTCGGGGCACTCAATCTTCTCGAGCCCACGGGGGTGTGCACGCTGAACCTTGGGGTCTTGAGACCGAGGTAGCCACACATCCACCGCCCATCGTGTACACTAGGACATCATGATCTTCGTCAAAAGACATCTGGGAGAGGAAACCACTAGTCCCTGGACAGTTCCAGCCCTGCACGGCCACTTTGGTCTTTTTCTTCTCTTTTTTTTTTTCTTTCTTTTCTTTTCAAGCGGCAGCCTGAACCTTGCCATTCTCCTAATCGTAACACACGGCCAATTCCCGTGGCTCGCTAACAGCTGGCACATGTGCCCATCTTTGAAGACAGGTGACAACTCAGTATTTCGCCCTGCAACTTTTAATACCGCGACAAGCTAAGGAACGTCTTCGCCCCCCACCAGCAGTCCGTCCACATTACCAATTGATGGTTTGGAATAGAACCCGACGGTAATGGCTCGCTTGGTGATTGCCGGACTCGGGCAAACGAGACTCCAGAGCTCTTGTTCTTCACACTCGCTTCATACACTTACGATCAAAGACACAAAGTCTTGCTACGGCCCCGACGGCGGTGGTCCTGGGAGAGCGTCATGTGCTTTTACCCACCCGTCGACAAGACGCGCTGGAGACTTAAAGTGCGTACTCTGTACGGAGTACGGAGTACGTAGCTGGTTAATCCAGTCCACGGCGCCACATGGACGCGTGGCTGCTTGTCAGCTGGGTCAAAGTGTTCTGGGGAGAATCGAAGCACAATTGGGTCAATCACGTCGGCACCCAAATTCTCGAGCGTTTTCAGTGCCAGTTGGCCATGATTCGCTGCATCTTCAATGCAAAGGACGTGTCGCTCCTTTGGTTAGGAACCCCCTTCCTCTCCATCGGCTGATCCTGTCCTTTCTCAGCTGGAGGCTGCCCGACCATTTAGCGCCAGGGATGAGGGTGTGGCTCAATGGATAACCAAAGTCCAAATTTGCCTTCGCGAGCTGATCAGCCTGCAAGTTTCCTCTACAAGCATAAGGGGCGCCCGGACTACATTCTCGACTTAGAACGCTTCGAATGCTTTGTTCATCATGCCAAAGTGAGTGTGTGCCCCCGTCTAGGAAGCCGGCTCTCGGAGACCAACGCGAATCAGACAACTTCACAACAAGCTTGGCCGGCCGATCTCTTACTCGGAACATATACCAATGGCGGATGGTTCACATTCGGAGCTCCAACTCCACCCCCTGCACCCCAGCCATTTCATCCCCTCTGTGTCGCAGCGCTCAGTTGTCACGATGCACGTCTTGAGTCTTTTCCGGACGAAGGGTACGGGATGGGCGGCAGTCGGCCTCGTTCGTCTTGCACCAGCGCAGTGCCTGCGAGCCCAGTTTTCGACGTGGAACTCTTTCCGAGTGGAGAGCAGTCGTATCGGAGGCCGTGGACGCGCAAGTTTCTCACGTATCGATGCGTACCCCGTGCGGTGCATCATACGGCCCGTCAGGTTCTAGATTATGGGGGGGTACGAGATCGACAACGATCAACTCGCGAGCCAAAGTGCTGCCGCGCGCCGCCGAAGTCGCACAGCAAGCTGCCAGCGCGTCGCAGTGCTGCTGATACCATGAGTCTTTGGAGCTAAGCCAGGGCCTGCGCTCAGGCGCTTGTGCTTTGAGTGCATAAAGAGTGGTAGTATGGTTGTGCTTTGCTCTCAAGTGTCCCTGTCCTTGGGAAGATGAAAAGGCAAAAGTGTGAGTCTGTCAGGGCGTCGGTGAAACCGGAGCCCTACCGACGAAAGGGGGAAGAAGATGAAGGAAAAGAAAAGGCACTCACTCTAATGCGCAGGCTGTCATGCCGGCTTCCTAGCCAGACAGGCTTGAAAGTCAGGGATCGCAGAGACTGCCCTTATTGAGGCCGAGCTGCAACCACTTGGTAAGCCGATGCTGTGGCCTGCAAGAGGTGGGAATGAAACATGGCAGGGATGGCAGCATTCTCAGGTTCTTGTCCAGTAACGTCAACTAAGAATCTCCGCCTGCGGCCCTTGAACTAACCACAGTCAAGACAGCCCCGCCTAGTGATCTACCGTTCACGCGCGGGCCACACAAGAGCCCCCCCCCCCCCCCCCCCCTGAGGCCGATTGGGCTTCGTGCATGGATGGGGAGACTTTGACAGAAGCACTTATCCTCGGGACGATGCAACGGGGACACGGCGGCGGTGTCGTCGTCCTCGTCGTCCTCCTCATCCTCCTCATCCTCCTCCACCACCACCACCACCACCCTGGTCAGTCTCCTCGGTTCCAAGGTGCTTCAGGCAGCTAGCTCATGGCAGCACAGGCTGGCGATCGGTATCGCCCTCATCTCATGGTCCTGCCTGCCCCTCTCGGCTGGCAAGCCTAGATTCCATCCGTCCAGAGAAGGTCATGGGCCAGACAAGCAGGGTCTCTACACCAGGTGATGATGGCCTGGGTTGGTGTGTCAAGCTTGGCCAACCCCCAGGTAAACTACCGGTAATACCTAGCACACATACACGTGCCGGTACGTAGCTTAGGCATGCCGGGAACGAATGGACCGTCTTGGACACCATGTGGCGGCAGATGGAATTGCCCGCAACTAAAACTATCCAGTTCAACCGAACGCGGGAGCCAGCACACGCATTCTGGACACCGGCCATGGTATGGCCATGGCTTTGTCACAAGAAAGCTCAAACCCCGGCTCCCTGGTCCCAGCCCCAGAGAATCCAACGTGCTCAGTTGCCAGGGATACACGATACCCTGTGTAGAGGTATGTACGTACCCAGCAGCGTACCTAGTTTACACCACACTAGGTAGCCCGGAGATGATGGGGGGGCCCTGGTCGGAGAGGGAGCAAAGGCATTTGCTTCGACAGAAGGAAGGAAGGTACCCGACCGGTGCCCCTCTCCAAACCAGTGCCATGGGTCCAGCACCTTAGGAGTTTTCAGCGACTGTCTGACCGGGGGCGCAATTGTGGTGTTCTTCACAGTGGAGCGGCCGGGACCAGGTATGGTTGGGGCTGCTGGAGTCCCTCCATTCCGTCAGCATCTCATGCTCTTCGAATCTCTTCCGTCGAGCCCGAGGGGAAACTGGGACCATAATTGATAAATGACTTCCTGCAGGGACCGCGTCATAGGAGCATAGGACGGCTGAAATCGAGACACTCCTTGTCCGCGCAAAGTCGTGCATGTACGAGTAAGCGGGATTACACGTACAAGACGACGGCAAGACGGCGATGTGCTGTTTGGGGAGGCAGGGAGCTTGCGGTTGCTCGACCTACTCCAAGCCGAAAGTTCATTTATTGTTTTCCAGGGCCAACTCGAGTAGCCCACGACGGTGCGGGCACTGGCATTGCAGCTGATGATCCGAATCGAAGGCTGGAGCATAACCAAAGTATCTATTTGGGTTGGTGGCCAACAAGTCTTGGGCGGCGGGCCATGACTCGTCGCAGGAACAAGGTCACTGCTGCGCAGCTGCCTCCTTTGCAATCCAGACACGGAAATTCACGATGAGATATCTTTGAGGAACGAAACGGGGCCTTCAGACTACTGACTGGCATCTATTTGTGGATGTGTGGATGTGGCACTGGGCATGCCCAAGTAAAGTACTAGCTACCTGGCCTTGGCACGCACCGGAGGTCGTCATGGCGCAAATCGGCCGACCTCCAAGTAGAAGGCACACACACCTGGCGACAGAACATGGAGCTCAGCGATCCCAGCGAATGCGAAGGGCAGGAGGGATGGGCAGTCACTGCAATGTGGAATGGGGTGGGGTGGTGTTGTGTGCGGGGAGGGGCGAAGGAAAGGAACAAGAAGAGAGAAAAAAAAAAAGAGAAGAAGCGGGGGGGTGTATGGCATGTGGGCCCGCAACGTCGATGTGGTAGTGAAAGGGCTGATTTTTCCGAGTCTCTGTGCTTCTGCATATGATTCTGCCGCCACTCCCTTCCCCTCCTTCACCCGTCAACACGCTAACGATCTCAGTCTCACTCAACCCTCTACCGGCTACCGCCGCCGCTAGGTAGGTAGATGACCCAGTCATCACTGCTACGACTACCGCTGCTTAATGCTACCTCGACGACTCATCGTTGCTCGGCTCTCTTGTCTTCCTCGCCCAGGCGAAAAGCCAAACACACACACGCCCCCCCCCCCCCCTTTCCCAATCGTTCCGGTCTGTCAGGATGCCCCTGTCTTCAGGTACGGGCGACGCCAACGTCGACTAAGAGATTCAGTGGACAAGATGCAAAACCCCACATTGCTTACTAGTGCTAGCCGCTCTTCGCCCCCACCCCACATCTTCGCTCATCCCGCCTGTACATTTCTTCTCGGCCCCACGAGACATGGTTGACGTGACGCTTTTACGGATGCGACTTACCAAACCAACGCGACGCTCACTCGCAGCTGCTGCCATCCATTCGCTCTCGAGCCACCACCACCCGCACGCACGCGGAACACCACTGCGGTACCGCCCTAGTGTCTGTCCTTCATCACCATGATACCTATATCGACCGGCACTACCTGCTCTGCTCTGCCTATTAAGGATACTCTACTCCGTACACTAAAAGCGGGCGTCTTACCACCGTCACCGCTCGGGTATCTGGTACCCAATTACTGCGCCATCTCCAGCGACGCTCCGCAGTAGCCATGACCAGGAAACCCATTCACAGCCACTGTTGCGTTCCACTTGCTTGAAGTTGCTTTTCTTTTCTGTCCCTTTTTGCTATGTACTGCACGAGTTTCTTGATGCCCTCCTCCGCCGCCGCCGCCGCCCTCCCTGCCTTGCTGAACGGAGCCTACTCGGCTTCTGGCTCTCTTGGTTTCGGTATCCCAGGCACGTTATGCCGACGCCCCCCTTCTCACCCGTCCTGCAAGCTCTGTGTGCCATGCACCACCTCCGGATGCGGTGCCATGTTTCCCCAACTTGGCCCCCCCCAGAAAGGCGGCCTGCGGTTCACCTGCCATGCTGGGCCTTTACATTGAGCTTCAGATTAACATCCCAGCCAAGTTGGGCTCAGGACCATGTTTCTGAAGCTGCATTCGCATGACCATTGACCAGACCAGCACTCTCGGAACTCAGAACCTCCCTCCCCACTGCCCAAGTTGGTCACGGTGGGAAACAGCAAAAATCCGTTCCAGGTTGCTTGCCCACTGCCTTCTTGCTTGCTTGCTTGCTTGCTTGCCCATGACTGGAAGCTGCGGGGCCGGGGGTACGACTCGCTGCATGCCATCGCTTCCGTCTCAGGCGGTCCATTGTTTTGCCACCAGGCACCGCCCGCTGCCCACCGCCGCCTTGACGTCCAACTTTTCTCCTGGAAAATCGCTTGACAGACATCAACCATCCCATCCCTTTCTCCCGTCAGGGGCCAGTACCCTGTAGCACCGCTTACCATTGATCATTGACCCGTCCACGATCCCTTGCCGCAGCCTGCCTGCCTTCCACCTGCATCTCCGAATCGACACATTGTGCACCCTTCTTAATGATGCATCCGCGCTTCGCCCCTCACTGGATCACTCACCTAAGTCACCTCCCCCCCTAGGCTATGTCCAGGGAGCGCCAGGGAGCGGCGCGTCCTTTGTCGGTTCATCAAACCACGCGGCGCACTACCCATATCTTGTGCCTCACCTTGCGTCCCCTTGGAATCGCCCCGAAATGATGACGGAATCGGTTGCAATCGTCCTGATCGCTGCTGGGAACCATGAGGGAGTGGTGGCCTGGTTGGTCATCGATCGACTCACAACTACATATGGCTCACCGTCGGCCGCAGCCAAACTGCACCGCATGCTGGAAGTGGGGTTTCTTTGGTGCCTTAATTGCGAGCATGAGATGGACGTGAATGTGTTTGTTCGGTTGACACCCAAGAGCAGAACGGCGTGCAACCCCACCCATCCGCCAGCTTGACTGACAATCCTACCGGATATCCGACGACTGATGGACGCAACAGGTGCAACATTTGGGCCGCCGAGTCTGATCATTATGACTCGCCTGCCGGTCCCATCACCAGGCGTACTAACCCGGTTGCAGCAATAAGTCGTCACTGTTAAGACGTTCCTCTGGCTGGACAGGAACAGGCAACAGAACCTGGTGATGGGGAAAGAAATAAATTAAGGAGAGAAAGAAGATGACCAAAACCGGCCCCCACGGAGCATCCAAGGTAAGGCTCAAGGCGCTTGAGTCGCCGCATCTCATGGTGGTCAGGCCATCTCGACGTCGTTTGACCAGCACCCGAGCTTCAATCTCGAACCAAGTGTTTCCCCGTTGCCAGATCCATACCCCCCCGTACGCAGTTGGAGCATCTTTGGAGTCGCGCAAAGATGCTACGCCGCCCCTCCCCTCCTGTCTTCGACCACATAGCTCTGCTCCATTGCGGGTTTCCGGTTTCCTCGGCTTCGCATCTTGCCTACTGTACCCATTCTGTCACCGAATTGCGAGGGCGGAATGCGCGCGGCTGTTGCCCAAGAAACCAGGTCGACTCTGGCAATCAGTCCATCGTCAACGCCGCCACGACATCATACGTACAACCGCGAGCCTCGGGAATCGCTACTTCGTAGCGGCAGCTGGGATTCCCGCGACGAGCTTTGTTGGGTCACGGCACGCGTTCTGAATCTCGTGACGCGAGGCTCCAAAGTCTCTCCCCCTCTCTCTCTCTCTCTCTCTGCTTCTATCTCGATACCATATAGGTCTAGGGGCCGCTATCAGCTGCATCAGGCCATGTGCAGCCTTGTTCGCCGTCGTGGGCCCCGCGTGAGGTGCTCTTCAAGCTGCATCGAGGCTTTGGCACGCATCTATGCGGGCAGGTTTGCTCGAACACGAGTGGTGATGCAACGAGGGGCGAAGGCAAGCCACATTGCTACGCGACCGCTGCGAGCGCCATGATTTGTCTCGATGCCAATGGCACTGACACCAATATCTGCTTAACCAGGCTTGACTTGACTTACCTACTTCGTAAGAGGTTTCCTTCTGCCTGCCCACACCGTGTGTACACACACCGCCTCTTTCAACCCCACCGAAAGACCCTCCATCTTTTTTCTCCCTCCCCCGCCCATTCCGCAAGTTTTGCAACAGGCACGGCCTGCCGACAGTCGAACCATCCGTCCGTCTGGCGGGCCATACTCGGTCTTCTTCACCCTGCTCACCAGCTTGCCTGTCGGGTAAAAACCGAATCCTGACGATTGGGGGCACTGGGCCCACTTTGGCCTGCCCGTTTCTAGTTGACCGGCCGAAGCATCCATTCCAGATACGGCACCGGGGGAGGCGACCCGGAGCGTCCGCGACGAAGGCTAACGCCTGGCCTGATCCGTTACGGCGGTCCACCACCAGCGCGACGTACCATGTCGTCTCCCAGTTCGTCAAACCCCTCTCGCTGGACCTTGAGCGTGGCCAGCTGCACGGCGAAGTCCAGCTTGTCGGCCGTGTCCCAAGTGTCGGTCTGGCAAATCAGTCCGTAGAGCATGCCCGCGACAAACGTGTCCCCCGCACCCACGGAGCTAGCCTGTCGTTAGCCGAATACACTCTGCAGAACGGTTTCTTGGTGCGGTGGCATGGACAGCGGGCGACCTCTTACTCGACGATTTGTGTGACCGGCGTCTGCACCGGGCTTACGAACAGTTGCTGGTCTTTGAGGGTCAGGCACGCCGCTCCCTCGGAACCCCAGGTGCTCATGGCCAACCATCTACCCGCGTCGCAGTCAGCCAACGTCCATCGAGAGAAAGGCTTCCCGTTACCAACTCACGCTCGTGGTAGGCTTTCGCCTCTCAGGCAGCCTTCAGCAGAGGTATACCCGCAGTCCTGAGAGGGTTCGCAGTTAGCATTCGTCCTCACAACGGCCGTTGGCGGCGGGCGGGCGGGCAGGCAGCGCACCTCGGCCCAGCTCTTGGAGTAGAACACCACTTCCGCCTCGGCGGCGAGCTCTCGCAGCCCCGGCCGCCCGGGCTTCTCGACTTCGACGCTGACGGTCACGTCATCCAGCACCTGCCTCAGCAGGCGAATGCACTCGAGAGTCGTCTCTGGGGTCCGGCCCTCGAAATGCCACCATGTCCGCCCGAGACCCTGGAAGGCCTCGGCGACGCGCAGAAACTCCGTGACCGTCATCTCGGGGAGGTCGTTGTGGTTGACAATGGTGCGGGTGCCAGTTGTTTCGCTGCGGATGACGTAACTACTCGCCGGCGCCTTGTGGCCCTTGCGGAATAGGCAGTGGTCGAAGTCGATCGCGGGCGATCCGTCCTCCGTCCGCGATGCACTACCGGCTGTCGAGCGGAGTGAGGCAATGATCTGCGCCGTTGCCTGCGACTGGCGCTCAGGCAAAGGGGAGACTAGATGCATTTGCAGGGACGTCGGAGGTGAGGACACGGGCAAGTCACTGACGAGGAGCTGTTGGAGGACTTCCAACGTGTTGGGGCAATTGCCTCCCCGGCGGACGCGCAGGCTGGTGGCTCGTAGTTTCGAGTCCTCTTCGGGGAAGTGAGGGACGCTGGCGCAGGCGATCGGTCAGTCGGGGAGTTCTCTTGACGAGACGGGCCGAGCAGGCGGAGGGAGGCGGAAGGCTGCCTTACCTCAAGACAGTGTCGACGTAGCACGCCCCGACGACGATGAGGTGATCCATCACGATGCTGCGGTGTGACGGGCCCGTCTCCGATGCGCGAGGTTGCTGGGTTTACCGCCGTTTTTGGCTCTTGGCCACGTCCGCGATTATTCCTTACTGATGTCCCAGTGTAGAAGACGCCAACATGGATTGACAGACGGAAAGCAGTCGCGAGTGCGACGACACCTCTCCGGTTTCTGCCCGCTCTATCTCTGGGCTGCGGTCGCGCCACTGCGGTTGGTTCAGAAGGGGCCTCGGGGCCGATCGCAAACGCGTCCGTCAGTGGCGTTTATCTCTGGACCGAAAAGCATGCGGGGGCCACCGGCCCATCATTTCGCCGCTCTGCCAACGACGCCGTGCGTCCACGTCGAACTGCCCCTGGAAGGTAGGCGTCGCTGGGCTGGGCGACTTCCAGTGTTGCGGTGGTGGGCGACACCGAGGCCATGTATTTGGGGCGATTGAGGGCTGGAAAGCCTGATGCTTTCGTGACGTGCCAGGTTGCTCGCAGTGCGCACCTATGTATGATCTACTTGATGCCGGATCGTTGACCTGACGCTTGCCAATCTCGGCGGTGTCGTGCCAGTAGTGTTTGCCGGCATTTTCTTCTTGTCTTGCCGGTCCGGGCGTGCATCGCCTCTCGAGTCGCGTGAGCCAAATGGCGAGGTGCGCGTTTGTCTACGTGCTCGCTTCCACGGCTGTGTTCCTCGCACATGGCCTCGGGGTCAAGGCACCGTCTCCTGTCCAGAAGCCTCACAGGATCCCACCTGCCTTCGGGGCGACGCACTCGCCGTCAGGATTCAAGTCCTGAGGCGACGGGGGGTTGTCAAGGCCTTTGCGGGCATGGGTTCGGAAGCGTGTACACTGCTTTGCCCGTCTGCTCTACGCTTTAACGAAAGAAAAAACCGAAAGGACCATGTGTAACTTCTGTTTACTCCCTTGCCCATCTCGCTTGATGGAGGGGCCGGGCTTGGTGGCCCCTTGGGAAATCCGGCATTGTTCTGACCCCCTCCCCCCCCCCTTCTCACCATTCGGTCCGGGATATCTGTGTCACGAACATCATGGATGGGGAGGGGGACTTCCCGGTCCGACGTGTGTCACTACCGCCGAAGAATAGTTCCGAACGTCCCCGGGTGCCGTGATCAACCGAAAGGGACGGTTGATGACGTCGATTGGCAAAGCAAGCGTAGCCGCAAGTTCGGCAGCAAGCAGGTGGCGACGTCCGGGCTTCGGCGTTGAACGGCGTCTGGGCAGATGGATCTCTTGGTCCACAGGGAACAACGATCCCGTCGAGCGCGGTCAGTCAGTCGATTGCGTCTTGGGGCAGTAGGGCTTGGGGACACGAGCATCTCGGTTCATCAATACTCTGGCGCCGAGCGAGGCCTTTCCGCATAGCCTATAGCGATATGTTTGTCTTGTTATGAATATATTATCTAAACAACCGGCTGAAATATATGCCGAAGTAAAGGGTACCATCACGATTGTCTACAGCCTTTGCCTATCATCATTTCATAGTCTCGAACGGTTGGTTGGTTGCAGGTGCGCGCCACTAGAAGAAAATCCAATGATTGGACGCCAACGCCTTCCTAGCCTTTTGACCCCCCCCACCCCCCCCCCTTCTCATTACTTCTGATATACCGACAGGCGGTTGCCGTTACCGCAGTACTCGGTGTCGGACCCCGTGCAGAACATGCTACAGTCGCTCGCCGGCGCCTCGAGGGATGTCTCCGGCAGTGCGTTGCCGCAGTAGCACTCGCCTCCGTATTCCGTGCCGAAGTAAGTGTAGCCGTCGCAGAAAGCCGCGCACGCCTCGTTCGTCATCTCGTCCGAGGCGGTGCCCTTGGCATCCAAGGCGCGTCCGCCCTGTGCGGGCTCGGTGCGGCATCCCAGGAACGTGTACGCCCCGACGGTGGCCGGCTGGGCGGGTTCGCCAACTTGCTTGTCGGATTGGTACAGCGTCAGCCTGTTGCCTGCGCCACAGTACTCGTACTGGTTGCCGCTGCAGGTCATGGCACAGTCTGCCAGGGGGGCCTCGGAGCTGGACGCCGCGCGGAAGTCGCCGCAGTAGCATTCGCTGCCGTACTCCGTTCCAAAGTACTTGTAGTCCGAGCAGAAGGACGCACAGTACTCGAGCGTCATGTTGTCACCGGAGGCGTAGCTCTTTTGGCTCAAAGCCCGCACTCCGTTGCCTTCCGTCCAGCAACCCACCAAGGCGAAAGGGGAGATGGTGGGTTTTTGAGCCAGGGTAGGGACGGTGCTTGTCGAGCTTGAGGTATTGGTGGCGGATACTGCGCTGCTGGAGGTTGCGGGATCCGACGACGTCTGGGATGAGTTCGTAGCTGAAGTGACCGAGGGCTCGGCTTGGCTGCCTGAAACTGCACCTGTGAACGCGGCGGAAGACGTGACGGAGGACGTCGTCGTGGCCATCGTGGGAGACGAACTGCTGACTTTGTACAGCTCAAGGCGGTTGCCGTCGCCGCAGTACTGGTACGGGTTGCCGGCACACTTCATGTTGCACTCGGTCAACGGGGCAGTCATGCTGGTGGATTGTAGTTCATTGCCGCAGTAGCCTGGACTCGGATTAGCCGCTTGTCTCATCGCAAGAATCTCACATCACACTCACATTCGCGACCATACTCGGTGCCAAAAAAGGTGTAGTCGGAGCAGAACGCGGCACATTTGTCGAGGGTCATGTCGTCGCTAGCAGTCTGAGCGGCTTGCAGAGCGCGGCCGCCATCGGCCTCCGTCTGGCATCCCACGAGAGAATACTTGCCGATGGCGTTGATGTGAGCAAGGGTTGCCGTCGGGGCGGCCGTCGAGCTGGTGCTGCGCGTGGCCGTGGTCGAGTAGAGCTCGATGCGGTCGCCGGCTCCACAGTACTGCGTCGAGTCGCCGGAGCACTGCATGCTGCAGTCGGTCAAAGGGGCAGAAGTGGCGGAGGGGGCCAGGGAGTTGCCGCAGTAGCATTCGCGTCCATACTCGGTGCCCCAGTAGTCGAATCCGGTGCAGTTCGCCATGCAGCTGTCCAGAGTCATGCCGTCGTAGGCGAAGGCGGCGCCGGTGAGGGCCCGGCCGCCCGAGGCCTCGGTCCAGCAAGACACGAGCTTGTACCCGCCCATGGTCTCCCGGTGGTACAGCGTGGCCGTGGGAGCCGCACTGGAGGTGCCGGAGGCCGAGGCGGTCGTCGAAGTGGGAATGGCAGGGGCGGTGACACTGTTGCAGGTGGTCGACCCCCCTGACCACGCCTGGCAAGTACCTCCGATGGTGTTGGCCTTCTTGAACGAGTCAACCTCGGCTGATGCGCCCTCTCCGCTGATAAAATCCATGGTAGACTCGGGACTCAGACCGCCGGGGATATTGGTGTTAACGGTGAAAAATGTATAGCTGCCCTGGCAGCTTCCGTTGACCATGTCGACAGTCATCTTGTTCAACAAAGGCACGACACTGTTCGTTTGCGTCGTCTTGTACGAGATCTCCACCTTGACCGGAAGTGACGCTCTATCGTTGCGGACTGCGACGACAAAGGTAGCGTCGCCAGCAGATTGCTGCAGGCAACTCTGGAGCGGTTGGAGGAAGATGGCATCCTGCAGAGGGTACCCATTGCCGTTGTTGTTGAAAAGCGTGCTCGAGCCGTCATTCTTATTGATTGTGACGGTGAAGGACGAGATGCCAGTGTTGACAGGGAAAGTCTGACTGATGGGGTACCAGGCAAAGTTGTCTTCCAACCCTCTAGAGATGCCCAGGACCGAGAGAGTGAAGGCGCAGCTGCTAGAACCGCAAGTGGAGCTCCCGTCCCGGGTCTTGTAGTTGATGGTCAGGCTCGCAATGGTATCCAAGGGTATCTCGGTGGTTCGGATGCGGATGGCGCCTTGAAGCTGGATGGTGGAGGGCGAGGCGAGCGAGAGCTGAAGGTCAACCGGCTTGACCGTGTAGGGCTTAATGGGATCGGTGAGCGTGACGCTGGATGGCACGACGTTGACCATCTTCTCGAGCACGGTCTTGCAGGCGGATTTGAAGACGGCACTGTCAGCCATGGCTCTCATCGTCGCGTTGTCGGAGTTGAAGACCTTGAAGTCGGAGTTCTGGCTGCGACCGTTGCCCATCGTGAAGACGAGAGGATTCTTTGTGGTGCCGTCGAGGTACTCGGTGACAACCTTGTTGTCGAAGACGCCGTTTGTCGTATCCATGGGTGCCATCCCGTTCGCAAAAGTGCCGGGAGGGACGATGCTCGGGTTCTCGGCCGAGTGCACACCGCCAATGGTATGGCCGCAGGCCGTCACCTGAACCATCTCCTGGGGCGTAAAACCCATGCGGCTAAACTGCTGTGTGAAGATCTGGATGACGTTTCCGGGCTGCGGCACGCCGGTGGGGCCTTTGACGGTCGCGTCGATGCGTCCAGAACGATAGTCGATCGAGGGGCCGTTGCAAGACAGCACGGAGGCGTACACTCCGAGGGCAATCAGGTCCGACATGCTGCTCTTGCGGGTCAGGTAAGGGTTGAAGAAGGTCATCGAAGATGCGAAGCCAGGGCCAGCGTTCTCTCCGCCTACTGCGAGCTCGTACTGAATCGACGCGTCTAAGCCGCCGGTCCCAGGGCCTGCTACGTTGGCCGGTGCCATGTCGTGAAAGGCGGTCCTTAGCCATTCGGCCGCAGTCTGGCGGCCGACACCGTTGGTTTCTTTGTTGCAGGGAAAGACGGCATCGGCGAACTTTCGTGACCTTGCGTTGAACATCTGATACATGATCTCTTCCAACTCGTCGACATCCGATGGCCATGTCGGGTCGGCGTGGACCTGGCATGCTAGGCCCAGAAGGCCCAGCAGTAAAGACGAGACTACCCTCATGATGCCGATATACTAAGCCTTGGAACTTTCGAGGATCGACGGTAGTGAGGGATTACCAACACGGGTGCAAGCGAGGGACTAGGTCATCCAAGTAAACGGATCGACCTTGGGGTTGGGGCACCGACAAGGCAGGTATGCCTAAAGAGAACTGAGCAGTCACAACAGGAGAGAAGAATGGGGATGAAGCAAGAAGGAGAGACGAGGCGGGGTGCTCGCCGTTAGATATGTGAGGCATGGTGCCAGAAAAGTCACGCACAACTACGACGGCCTGGCCTAACATAGGGATCAGGAGGCTCCATGCAGCAGCAAATTCGGCGAGTAGACGGGGCGTGGCGGGCCCGTGGCGACGACGAGGCATTGACCGCGTACGATAGCGCAAAGACGGGCGATCTAGGCATTGTGGGCAGGTCTGGGCAGACATGAGAAGTTTAATGGCCGGCAAGGGTAGCGTTCCCTGAGGGCGACTAGCGGCCGGTGGTGATGGCGGAGCAGACCAAGGGCTGGTGGTTACTGGTCACCATCGTGGGAGTCAGCAAGTGAACGAGTGTGGGGTGTGGGTGCACCGTCGATACCTGCCTGGTAGGAATAGAGAGAAAGAGACGTGAGACTTCGTATTTTTGGTTAAGGTGGTCAAGGAGGCCAGCCCAGATCCCCTCTTTCCCATTCCGAGTTAGTGCCGCCTTCACATTAGATCGCAATCCGAGAGTTGTGGTTGGCCGCGAGCGTTGTTGTGGCTGTTTTGGGCGCCAGCCGCAATTGTGGGTGGGAGCAGACTAATCCAGGGGTGCCGGGGTACAACCCCCCTGCCCCTGAGCTACGCTTACCTCGATTAACCTCAGTTGGGTTGGTTCGAGATACCCTCGAAAACGATTATGCAGTGGGATTGCCCAGCGATGCGTCTAGGGGTAGATTGCATATTGACAAGCAGCAGACCCTTGCAGTCGCTGGGAGACACGTCCAATCCAGTAGGTGCCTTTGCCACGGGGAGGGACCTTCGGGACGCAGTAGTCATCCGTACCTACCTACCTTATGGGAGGTGGGGGGGCCTGGTTGGTGAGATGCCCGCTCTGGCCCTGGCCTGCTCTCTCCTGCGCGACAACAAACTATTGATGCCATGTCAACGTTGTGCATCTGCTGACACGAATACCTGCATCCGTTTGCCAATCTTACAGCATACGCGAATGCACTCGCTGCAGAGACCTTGTGGATACCACCTCTGGCGAGGACGAGGACACAGACGTCTTGGTCCACGGTATCGCGGCAAAACCGGCTTCAACGGCATCTCGCAGCCTGATCCGCCGACTGGATTCTGGTATCCAACCAAACAACGCCAGGATTCGTTCGCGCATATGGCCATCCGTCGAGCCTCCTCCATCACCAGTCTCCGGGCGACCGCTCTCGCTTCATCACGCGCTGTCAGTCTGAAAAGGGAGGCTCATCTGCTGTTACTACACGCATAATCGTTGCCAAGGCGCCATTGTACTGTCAACCACCACCCCGTTCTTTCTTGCAACCGGAGCCCGGCTAAAATCGGACAAAGCTGAAAGATAGGCCTGCAGCCATCGCATGCATGAGGCGTCTGTCAGAAGAGCATCCGATCGAGGCAATGGCCAAATTGCGGATGGGGACGCCACCGCAATTGATTGTCAAGGCGACCAAAGCGTGGCTTTTGCTAGTGGAAACGAACTAGCGTTTTCCGTCCTGTTAGGGAAAATGAAGAGATAAAGGGGCTGCTGGAGTGGCAGATTGCCTATTACACTATGGGGGATCGGAAACCCCCGCGGTTTTGCGTTTCGAGTCGCCAACGGTTGTGTTGTTCGGAATCGCACGACAAGACAAAGAACGACTTTACGACTTTCCGACCGACCAAAACCCGACAGCATGGCCAACCCGCGGACGATAAGGCTGAATGGAGACACCCCAGGCTTAGCCATGCGAAACATTCCGCTGCCGTGGGTACACAGAGAGGAGCATAAAGAGGGCCATAATCAGGGTTCTGTGGCTAGCTTGTCACAACCCAGTTGTACGGGAAGCCGACCGCCGACTCATGTTCGAATGCGCTGTTCCGCGGTCCGACGTTGTACGTTATGTGAAGTGCTTGACGTCCTTGGCATGAAAATTGTCTTCTCAACGTCGTGGCTATGGGAATCGCCATTCCATCTTACAGAGCGCTGCAGTGCATATCCATCAGCTCCTCAGAGTTGGGCTTTCGTGGACGACAGGGACCGGAAGCTCGGTGCCTGTCCCGATAGATGCGGGGCCGGCCGATCGCCCATCCCCGGAGTTGCCGCGTTAGTCTCGGGTCGGATCGCCGATATGGCATTCCGTGTAATTCACAGCGTACTGGTACGGCCCGGACACAGCAATCAAATGCTCGATCTTCCCAGAAAACCATGACAGCTTCCTGCAGCCACCCGAACGCCCGCTGCACAGACGCCCCAACCATGAACGCTAGCTCTTCAGAGGCAGTCCCATACAGGGCAATACGTGTTCACAGCAGGCGACTTTAACTTGGCAATCGTACCTTTGAACGACCGGCATTCTCGGGGCGAGCAGGTATGACGAGAGTGAAGGAACGCGGACCATCCACCGCTTCCCGGCCGTGACCCAACCGCTACGACGTCTACAACTGAGCTGTGCTTGAAGGCAATGACATAATGCGCCTAGTATGAGACAGCCAAATGCAGCTTGACGTCTAGTTACGGCGACTCGGCAGCCTGACTCCGAGACAAACGGGGAGGGAAGCACGCACACTGTTGACTATTGTCTATTGTCTTTTCTCTATCCGTATGACGCCAGGCCGCTAGCTCTTCGCTCTTTTTCGGTATTCTGCTGACACACAGCCTACTTGCAGACCATCACGTGAGTTTCAAACACTAATTCTTCCTTTGTCCGTGGAGAAACCCCGACAGATGCAAGGAGAAGCAATGGCCTGGGCCTGCGTAAAATCCACAAGAACCTGGCACCGTGAGGAGAGACATCTTTGGACGAAACCTGACGGACAAAGAGTGCGATCGTTGCGTATTGATTAGATCATGACTCTCATGGAAAGGCCCGGCCCTGCAGTTGGCTCTAGCCCCCCAAGGATCTTCGTCGACCGGCAGGGACCTGACGGTTTAAACCGAGGCATGCCGCTACCCAGAACGACGCGTACACCTTGCACTCTGAATCTCGCTCTAACGCTGGCCGAACGAGACCAGAACCGAATCCGGCGGGTCGGATGGGGTTTCGATTTGAAAAACATGTTCCGTACCCACGACGGTTAATCATGATGTGGGCATTCCGGGTAGCTTGAGTCGGTCCTTGGAAAAAGGAAAAAAAGGAGAAACAAAACCTCCACCGGAAGTTGTCATGAACCGAAACCCTCCTGGGCCTAGAAATGGTCAAAGCGGAGTATCCTAGAAGAGCTGGAAACTCTGCCCCCTTCTAAACGATGTCCGTTTTGAAGCATCCAGGTGTGGGAGACTGTGTTTTTCAGCCGTAACACCTTATTCAACCCGCAGCCAACCTGCTGAACTGACCCTTGGCCTAGCTTCCCGTGCTTGCCGTGGCCCACTCGAAGAAACCTGGACAGTGGACTACCGGTATGGACCACCAGCGAAGGAAACAGAGAGTTAAAATGGGAAAACCCCAGGAGCAGGCCGATCCCGACCCCCAATCATCTGCCCAGCGAAGCCACACTTGTATTGTGGCCGTGACAGGTACATGGAGAACCCGTCCTCTGCCCGGTCCAATGAAGTCAGCAGATGCCCCTCCAAGACATCTGACATCATACCCCGGTCGAGGCTGTGGGTGGGAGGGGTTCCATTCAGCCACAACGTTCGTCATCAAACCGCAAGCAGCGGCCCGTCCGAAGACTTGACGCCCGTTCTCCGTCATTCCCCATCGCCCCTCCATTGACTTTGGACTGGGTAGTCTGTGTGGTGAAGGGAGGGGAAGCTGTTCATGGAATAAACAGCTGGCCAAGAAAAATGCACTAGAGATCCCTGGACTTGGACCGAACAGGAAACGCTCGTATCTTGCCACGATCCAAGCAATGAGGGATCGGCAGACAGAGGAAACCATTCATTAATACCGACATACATGGGGAGGCAGCCCTGTTTCTTGGCCTGCTTTCTTTCCGAGTATTAAGGGTCTCGACCGTCCCTGTTCGACGATCTCGACTCTACCCCCCATCCCACCCGTTCATCCAGCCTGTCAAACACCTTTCCAAGGCAGGTGACAGCCCGACCACGAGCGACCTTTCATCTTTGCCCATCTCTGTTCAGACCAACGTCAAGAGAAGTTACGTATCCAACTAAACAAACCCAAAGTAGTACCCTTGACCGCAATCCGTGATCATGGGCTTCGCCTTGAAATTCCTCCAGTGGTTCATCCGCGGCGTACAGCTAGGCTGCTCGATCATCATCCTCGGCATATTCTCCTACTTCCTCGCAACCCTGCACAACCACTCTCTCCCAATCGGCAATTCCATTCGCGCCGTCGAAGGCATCTCTGGCGCCGCGGTTCTTTACACTCTCGCAGGCCTGCTCCTCTTGTGCTGCCTCGCCGGCCGCTCCTTCACCTCCTTCATTGCCATTGTCATCGATGTCGCCTTCATCGGCGCCTTCATCTATGTCGCCGTAGCCAACCGCAGCGGCGCCAGCTCTTGCTCTGGTAATGTCCACACGCCCTTTGGCGACGGCCCCGCCGACGGCGAGCCTACCAACACTGGCAACGAGGGCTGGACGCACCTCCCCAGCCTGCGTACCGCTTGCAAGCTGCAGTCCGCCTGCTTCGCCGTCTCCATCATTGCAATGTAAGTCTTCCTCCCCCGGCAACGATGATCACAATGTTGGTGCTGACCCTCCCTTAGAATCTTCTTCATCCTCTCCATCCTCGTCGAGGTCGCCCTTGCCCGCCACCACAACAAGGAAAAGCGCTTTGGCCCCAGCCCCAAGAATAACTACACCTCTGGATCCGGCGCCAAGCCCGGCTTCTTCAGCAGATTCCGTCGCGGCAAGCGTCCCGTCCCCGAGACCAACGAGAATGCTCTGCCGATGCATACCAGCCCCGACCAGGTCCGCCCCAGCTATGCCACCGACACCACCGCTGTCGGACATGATCCGGCATACCCCAAATACGAGGGCGCTTACGCCACTAACGGCATCAACGGCTACAACCACGGCCAGGAGACTGGCACTACTGGCACCACTGGCACCACTCACCCGCCCAGCAACTACCAGTACAATGACGGTGTCTATGATAGAGTCTAAATACACTTGTTGAGTGGAACGCAAAACGAGTATCAAAGGAAGAAACTAGAAATTTGGTAATACGAATGTGAAAACACTAATGGCACCAACCAAGGACGGATATATACCCAGGGATTAAAGGAGTCTTGCATGTCGCGTAGGTTAATCAACAGCTTTTGCTAGTTTGGTAGTCGTGAATCATATGATCATTGTCTGACGATACACATCAACATCTCGAGATTACGAAGGGCAGCGGTATTGTGAGCGTCATCAGCAGATTGAGCGTGATACAGGCTGGGTGACGAATACTAGCACGCAAACGTTCCACAGCCGTGTTCGACCAGCGATGGCGGCAGCTGTGGGCTACGTTTAGAACCGGTGATGTGAGAGGGCAAACTTCCGCCCACATCCGAGGGGCTTCAAAACATGCCACCTCAGGGCCCCTTTCCCGACCCGAAGGGTTCAGTAACCTAAACCGGACACTTGGCCAGTGGTCAGCAAACCTCGTCAAACGCATACAGCAGGATCTTGTCACCGCCAGCCGGCCGCCTCGTCCCACTCACTGTTTGCGCCGTCTTCGGCTCCCACGTCCGCCCAGTTCATGTCCAGCTTCTCCAGCTCCCTCGTGAAGAAGTCCTGCTCCTCCCGCAGGGCGGTTCGCAGCTCGACGGCGATCTTTTCGGGATACCTGTGCACGTTGTACCAATGCGTCAGGCTGCGCAACGCCTGCTCCAGCGGCAGCGCCGAGTCGACCTCGGCATCGACGTCGCTCCCTGCCAACCATTCGTCGCGCAGCTCGGGCCGGCAGTGGAGGTACACCGCCGTAATGACGCGCATGTTGCTCTGCCGCCACTTGCGGCCACAGTATGGCACCTGGTTCTTGAACAGCTTCAAGGTGTAAAGTCGGAGTTCTGGCTGGGGAATCTTGAGTGACTTGCGGAGGATGTTGGCCGACTTGTACTGCACCAGGAGGAGGTTTCGGTGGGCCTTGTGTTTGCAAATCTTCTGCATGATCCGGAGGTAGTTGATGAGGGAGAAGAAGTTTCTTCTCGAGAAGTCGGTGATCGGCTCGGCTGGCAGGTCGTTGACGGGGTATCCGAGCTCGTCGACTTCGGGCCGCACCGCAGCTTGCCCCTCGAGCTTAGCACTATCGTCGCTGTCGCGCGTTGCCGCCGTGGTTGCCCGAGGTGGTGACCGCCTCCTCTTAATGGGCGGAGGCGCTGCTTCGTCTTCGCTCTCTTCCTCGGGCTCCGCCTGGACCGGCGGCTTGTCCTTGAACTTCGATCGTAGGTTGCAGAAGTGAAAGAAGCTAGATAAGTCAGCTTGAATCGTAGGGGCACCCTGAGTTCGCACGTACCTGTTCTCGAGCCTGTCCGTCTTGCTGTCCACCACTTGTTGGACATCCTGGTGCGCAAATAGCTTGAGGACTAGCGGGAGGTAATTAGAGTCGAGCAGAAGCTGCGTCATGTACTCGAATTTGAGAACGTCTGGGCCTTCGTCAGCATGCGCCTCGCAACACCAACCAGTGCTACGTACGCGAGACTCTAAGCCACTTCAGCAGAAGGAGCAAGATGGCCGTTATGGCTTTGGTGGTGATCTCTCGGGACCTCGCGGCATCCACTTCCTCGGGGGTCATCTCGGGGGGTTCAGGAGGACCCGGCTGTGCCGAAGGGTCCTGGGATTGCTGTTGCCGATTGGGCCCGGGGCCGCCGTTCATGCCGTTGGCCCCTCTGCCAGCCATACTCGGGTGCTGTTGTGCTGCGGCAGGCTGCGACAAGACAGCAGTGACGTTCAGGAGGATCGGCCTCAGGAGGACGATCACGAGCGACTGCAGGTGAGGAAGAGACTCCTTCTGTAGAGAAGTTAGCCAAGTCCACTTAGGGTTCTGGTTTACCCACGTAGAAGCTCTCGACGGCAAGTAGCCGACGCTTGACCTCCTCGTTCACTTTTTCTGCGGCAGGTCCGCAGTCGATTTCTGGTTCTCGCATCGAAAGCTGTGCTTCCCTACGTTCCTCGGCTCTCGTCTCGGCCTTGAGCGCAGCAATTTCTTGCTTCTCTTCCAGGCTTAGCCCTTCAAGGTCGAGATCGTCAACGTCGTCGTCGTCACTATCGTCTGCTTCCCATCCTCTCTCGAATTTCAGGAAGCTCTCGCGTTCTCTCCAGAGCTGGCGTGTCGCGCGAGTCGTGCGAACTCGCTTGGAGAATAGTTCGCCTGCCTCCAGAATGGACGCGGGGATGTCACTTCCCTCCCATCGGCGTCCGACAAGTAGTTCTTGTAACCCAGCCCCGCCTTTACCTCCGGCGCTGTTGCTTGTAGCATCCAGAGGTGGATACATGAATGGAAAATTCTGATTCGTCTGATAGTTTTGTTTCTTACCGCCCTTGCCTCCAACACCAGGAGACGGAGGTGGTGAAGGGGCAGGTGTCGCGATGTGAACCGGCTGGTGCAGGATAGAGGCACCGCTACTTTGCGGGTTGGGTGGTCCCGGTACGAATCCCATCGCTGCACTTGTCCTGGTGGGATGGTTAGGCAGAGGTGGCAGGAGGGTTGTGTTCTCCGGCTCGAGAGGGATGAGGGTTCTCGGCGGCACGTAGGCCGGGTACTTCGAGGTGAGTTCTTGTCGAAACACATGGTAATCCAAGGGCGACGCGGTGATGACGTCCTTGGATTTCGCGTTGGGGGATTCACTTGTGGCCTTCTTGACTTCGTCTATTTCCTGCGTACCACCAAAGACCAGGAGAATGGTTTTCCAGAACAGTAGAAAGATCTAGGAGAATTAGCCAGAGTCATCCACGGTGTCGGCGATTATACCTGGCTGGATGGCATCAAGTTGCCATCGTCCCAACGCAGCTTGGAGGCTGCTAGAGACATGAAGTCGACCAGACCGGGCTTCAGACAAACTAATATAAGGTTAGCCGTAGCCCCTTGCACATGCCGCCAACGTATGCTCACGAAGTTCAGATCTTGTAATTTCGAGCTCCTTCGGGAAACTCAATGCCTCCTGGATGATGACATACATGATTGTCATTAGGTTGATGAGCTCATCCTGGGCCTCTTGAGCACCACCGGGCTGCACCAGTCGAGGGTCGTCCGACCTGGTCAGGTTAGTCGCAGGAGCAACATTGTAACCGAAAAACGTACCAAAACACATCGAAGCAGTCTTGCAAGGCCTTCCATATGGTGACAATGCCGTTCAGGGATGTAAGAAAGGTGATGCTCGATCGCATTGCTTCCAGCTGGGTCGCGCTCGCGGCTGACCGCCTATCACCCACTGTAGCTGGAGTGGACGTATCGCCCCATCGACCCAGCACCAAGTACAGAACCTTTCCAATGGACGCAGAACGTTGTGCAGGGTCCTTGACTTGGAGACTGTCCAGGGCATCTTGCGTGAACTTGACTCTGGTCTGGTGTCCCGTATCTTCCCAAGCCGTCTGGACGTCATACTCGTGCTGCCACTGCCACTCGAAGGCCCTCTGGGCAGCGTTTAGCCGCACCCACTGCCAGAACTGGTACACGAACCACTCGTCTATCTCCTCGTCGTGCGAACCCATATCGTTGTAGACAAAATCGTAGGCGACAGGTTCGCCGCGGCTGAACTCGGCGACGATTCGCCTCAGCTGCAATAGTGACAGCGAGTCAGTTGGTTGCGGTTGTTCGGAGGGCGCGGGAGGCATCGGAGCTGGGGGGTCTGGTGCCAGCGCAGGGACGGGGGAGGGTGCAGAGGAGTTCCTCTGCAGAGATGGCCGTGCCGCAGGTGGAGGGGGCGGGTTGCTGGCATCGGGGCCGACATCTGCAACGACGGCGTCGGCGACATCGCCGGTCGGCGGGGACTCCTTTTCAGCGGGGGCACCCTCGTTGACAGGCCTCGAGGGCCACAAAGAGTTCATCCTGGAAGGAGGCGAAGGTGGTTCGAATGGTCTATCATGCTCTAGAAAGCTGTCGGAGGGTCGGCGGCGGTCGAGATTGATTGGTTCGATGGGGCTATTCGAGGATACGCGTCGAGAGCATAGGAAATCGCGTTGCACAGGCCAAGCTCATACTTAACCGCGGAAGAAAGTGTCAAGTAACGCGGTGAAGATGCAGCCTCAAGCGGGATGCAGTTTACGCTGCAGCTTCTGATTGGTTGTAAGCTAGCTCACTGGGGGGGTTGGCGGGGTGTGGCTGGATCTCACTGACATACAAATGGCAAATGTGGCTGGCCCATATCTTATCTTTTCTTATCGTCAAGAATCTTATCTAGAGTCACAGTCCGGCAGGAGTAATCAGACAAGCTGATATTGTCCCCCCCTGTCAGCCCGAGAGTACCGTGCACACTGTATGCAGAGTCCAGCAGACAGTGGATTCAGGTGATAACACAACTATCTTAGAGGCAAAAGGGATGGTCTTGGCCCATCCCGACCCAGAGCGCAGCGTAGGAAGCAGGGTGGGTTAGTACTATTCTAACCCTCCCTGGCGGAGCTGTTTTGGAATTAAAAAAAAAAAATCTAAGAAAACTGGATTTGAACTGGATTTGAACCTGCAGCCTTTAGGATGAGATTTATCACTGTTATCGTGCACAGTACTCTCAGGTTGACAGGGGGGGACACTATCAGCTTGTCTATAGACTCTTGATAAAAAAAATAGAGACAAAAGGGATACTCTAAGCCTATCCTGACCTAGAGCACAGCGTATGAAGCAGGGTAGGTTAGTACTATTCTAACCCTCCCCAACAGAGCTGTTTTAGAATTAAAAAAAAATCTAAGAAAACTAGATTTGAACCTGCAGCCTTTAGGATATGAGGTTTATCGCTGTTATCGTGCACGGTACTCAGGGTTGACAGGGGGGGACAATATCAGCTTGTCTGTAGACTCACTCGACACCTACCTCGCCAACAATTTTCGCCCACGTGCCTTATGCTCAAATTATGCATGGCGGGGTCGTTTACCAACGTGCATGAGGAGCATCGCCCGATAGCGCCCTGTGACCTGCGGCCCAATAGGCATTTTCCTCGAGAAGATTTGATAGCCATGCTGACGACATCCGAAAGGGTCAACTCGGAGCAAATCCGTCAGCTGCAGGAACAAAGACTGCAAGGCAACATGTCGGATGAGATAAGTAACAGCATGAAGAACAAACTCATTCAGTATCATGGTCTTGGATGTTCTTGGAGTCCCACCGCAATTGCATCCTGCAACCCTGAAAACGACGTCAGCGACTTGTCACGGTTCCGTGGCAAGCCACAGCAGGTGATCCACTCTGGTGAATAAGCACCCAAATGCTGCAATCGTCACTAGGCAATGCATAGCCCCGCTGACAGAAGAAGCTTCCTCCGAACTTAGGCAGATCTTACCTCTCGTCACTGCTTTCTCGCCGAATCTCACCAAAGCAAATTGTTCGGGATCCAAAACTATCCCTCTCTCTCGGGGACCGCGGGTTATCGTCGCAACTTTGGGGTTAGAGTCGCAAACGTAAATGTTTCACGGCTCACTTACCTCACACAGCCACTAACGGCGGTTCACCCGTTTGCACACTCTCAACTTCATTGGCAACGACAATCGCTATAAAGTTCCGTTTGGTATTTGACTCGGCCTGGAATTCAACGCTTCTGCATCACATAACCTCTTTGGACACTCCTTCCCAGATCTGCACTGACGCCGTTCACGAACAATAAGCGCAATAGATCTACCCCGCGATCTTTGCGGCTTCTAGAAGGTTTCACGCTTGCATATCACCGCAACCCCCCACCCTCCTTGAACATGGGCGCCGAGGCAGCGAACGATGAGAAAGAGAAGCGTGTTGGCTTTAAGGAGGACGAGGACGCTCATTCGAGCGGGAGCGATGACGACTATCAGAAGGCCGTCGAGGTATGCGACCCATGGCCTGTTGCCTCCCAACGGGACTACGAGCATAATATTAACATGCTTGGCAGGTCACGTTCGACCCTGGCAATCCTTACCGCCGCAAAAGCTCACTGGTGACGTCTGACATTAGTCGGCCTCTCCCGCGCCACCCAAGCAGAAGAACTGAGTGCATTGTCCACCAGTTTCTCGAAAGCCAGAGGAAGGCACGCGACGCCGTCGCCTCCGCCAGCAACCATGGATCCAGATCCAACTCAGCCTCGAGCACTTCCAAGGCGAATGATCACTACCACCACGGCCATCCCACTTACGAGAGCCCTAGCCGACAAGTGGGCGTCAAGGATGTGTCTGGGGAAAGGTGCATCTCCAAAACGGTCGATCCGAAGGGCCGCGCTGCCAAGCAGAGAGCCTCAATTCTGGCAACAGACAGCCCAGAAGACAGCGACATCGGTCAGGCTGACGAGAAGTCCTGGCGATCCGAAATCATCAAGTCTGCTTCGCAAATCGACCTGACGCAGTCGGACGACGAGGACGAACTACATAGCCGACTACTCACCAAGAAGCAGTTAAGCGAAATGGCTTGGGGAGTTCGCGAGCTCAGCAGACGCCTCAGTAGCATGCGCATCAGGTTCCGCGTCAAGACTATCTTCCTTTTGACCAAAATACACGATGCGGACCTGATCATTCGAACCCGGGAATTGACCAAGTGGCTTCTTTCATTTGACCGAGAAGTTGATTACACTGTCTACTTGGAGGAAAAGTTCAAGGAAAACAAAAGGTTCAACGCGCCGGGCATGATCGAAGAACTTAGCAAAGAAGCTCTCGATGCCGGGCAACCGCAAACCAAGGCCAATCACGATGCCATCTCCAAGCGTCTGAGGTACTGGGACGAAGACATGTGCCGCAACCGGCCACACATGTTCGACTTCGTCATTACCTTGGGCGGCGACGGCACTGTGCTCTATGCCAGCTGGCTCTTCCAGCGCATCGTTCCACCAGTCCTGAGCTTCTCGCTCGGCAGTCTTGGCTTCCTGACAAAATTTGACTTCGAGGAGCACCGCACCATTCTCGAGAGCGCATTCAACAAAGGCGTCACAGTAAGTCTGCGTCTGCGCTTCGAGGGAACGATCATGAGAAGTCAACAAAGGAAAAAGCTGGCGAACATCGAAGACAGCAGCTCCAGCCAGGATGAAGATGGACCGAAGCCTGACCTTGTCGAAGAACTTGTGGGCGAGGAGAGAGAGGATGAGCATACGCACAAGCCAGACGGGACTTTTGAGATTCTGAACGAAATCGTCGTGGACCGCGGCCCCAATCCGAGTAAGTTGCTGACCAAAATTTCCTACCGACTAGATCCTTGACCGCTGACCCATGGATCTCAATAGCAATGTCCTATACGGAAATATTTGGTGACGATGAGCACTTCACCTCCGTCTTGGCAGATGGAATTTGTGTTTCGACTCCGACGGGTTCAACCGCCTACAACCTGGCAGCCGGTGGCTCGCTCTGCCACCCCGAGAACCCAGTTATGCTCGTCACCGCCATCTGCGCCCATACACTCTCCTTCCGCCCAATTATTCTACCAGACACCATTGTCCTTCGTATAGGCGTTCCCTACGATGCGAGGACCAACTCTTGGGCCAGCTTTGACGGCCGCGAGCGTATAGAGCTATTCCCCGGAGATTACGTTACCATCAGCGCCAGTCGGTATCCCTTTGCAAGTGTTCAAGCCCAAGGCCGGCGAAGCGAGGACTGGGTCAATAGCATTAGCGGCAAGCTAGGCTGGAATACGCGTCAGAAGCAAAAGGGGTATAGGGAATGGGATAAATAGCCCGTTCGGCCAAAAATATGCAGACGACGGCGCAGAGAGTACCTCGAAGACCAAGAAGCTTCGGATAGTGATACTCCGAGCGAGTGTCCTTTATGCTCATCAGCGTTAGGGTCTCACGTGGTCATATGCAATGAGGGTGGGCGCTTGAGGCCATTCAAATCATGCCTTATTGCGTGGCCCGCTTAGGGACCTGTGACCTCCCATACTTCTGAACGCCAAGACTCGCAAACTGCCTCTGGAACCGCCGGGATGTCTTCCAACACGCCGAGGACGAAGACCGACAAGGTCTATGAGTGCAACCTAGCTTTATCACAACAAAGCTTGGTCGTAATTCTCTCCCGTAAAGTCTTTCCAGGAGAGGAGGTTGGCCAAGAGGGAAACAAGCCTTCTTGGCCAACTCCGCCCAAACCGCACTGCCTGAAGAGAGTTTTTTTCCGGCGTCACTTTCAGACAGCGTCATTGCAACCCTACACCGTCCTGCTCATTCCACACACCCTAAGCAAGGTGGTATGAGTGCAACCTAGCGCCTACCAGCACACATGAGGAATATGCGGAGGTCCATTGAGCACCTGCGTGCGAGTAAACATGCCCAAAAGCCATTTCCTATGAACCGGAAGAGACAGAGGCATTGCTGGATCTCGGTAGCCCGCACGGGCCCGACCCTTTTCCAGGCCAATACGCCAAAACGAACTGGACTGGCTAAAACACTGGCCGTCGGCACCCGTTCTGATCTGACGTACAGGGAGGGTAAAATTACCCGCAGTGCATTGTGTCCCGCCCCCCCACATCGCGTGGAACAGGAATGGGCCCCGGACGACCCCCCATAACTGAAACGCTATACTTCTCTCATTGGCCTCTGGGTAGCGTCTTGGCGAGGATACCGCCGCCAGCCGACAAGACCTGCGGCTCAAAGAGATTTCTGACGTTGTCGCAGGAAAATGGGACGGATCACACCACACATGTCACCTCATGGCGACTACGAAACCGACCGACGTATGCTCGTCGCCTTGTCAGGAATAGAGTTTGGATTTTCCTGTTTTATTTTTCCTCATTGTATTTTGCGCTTTTCGGCAGCTGCAGTCACAGTGCAGTCCTAAGCTACTGTGCTTATTCATGCCGCAACGGAACCCGTGGACAAGAGAGACAGACAATTACTCGGGTTGGGACGAGGAAAGCATGAAACGCTGTTTTATTTTTATTCTATAATTATGAACGTTGGAATAGCAAAACGAGACAGAAAAAAAGACTAAAGAGGCATAAAGGGAAATACGATGATGTGCTGGACAAGGTAGATGGTAGAGGCAGTACTTTCCCCTTTGGGTAGAAGAAAACCAGGCACACTCAACAGCTGATGCGTCCCTTATGGAAGAAGAAAAATAGACCATGTTGAATTTCATAATCTCTGTGATTTGCTATACATGCCGCATGCCGGGAATTATCTAGAACGCGAAACCCATCCACAGCCAACCCCGTCTGCCAAATTGCATTGATATCGTGACGAAAACATGAAGGGGGAAAAAAAGAAAGAAAGAAAGAAAAAGGCAAAGCCGAGATCAGAGGAGTTTGGGTTTACACGCGAGGCGGTTTTTTTTTTTCTAATGTGCGTTTGCGCATCGTGATGAACCCAGATTAGGGGCCGAGGCCGGGAATTGTCAAATAGAATTGGAACAGGTGAGAATAGATGGTATCCACTTTTTCTCATTGAGATTTTTTTTTCTCCACCCGAACAGGCGCCAAGAGAGGTTCATTTACTGCTGCTCATCGACGTCGTCGGCCTCGGTCTCGACAAAAGTCATGGTAACGCCCTCGCCGCTGACGTTCAGGTTGACGGTGTCAATGGCACCACCACTGACGCCTCTCGAGGCAAGCTCCTCCTGTGCACGCTTGACGACATTGTTGGAGGTGGCGGGGACGACCTGGGCAACGGGGGCGGCGGGGTCGCGGGCAACGAGCTTATCGGAGGTCATCTCAACGCCTGCTCGTATCGTTAGCCGGGGTCCGGTTTTGATACATAGTGTGGTGCCTACTTACCCCCGGGAACGCCGGAGCGAACGTACATGGTAGTGACCTTGGCACGGCGGCGGGGAGGCTGCTGGGCTTCATCGGCGCGGGCCTTGACACGGGCGGCGGCACGCTGGCCTCCGGCAGCGGCTTGGGCACCACCCTGCTGGTTGTCGACCTTGATACCAACTCCGGAGCCACCCTCGCCGGTGCCGAGATCGATCTTCGGGCCCTTGGTGAGGGCGGCCTCGGCGTACTTCAGAGCGCGGTCGAAACCGGCCAGATCTCGCTTCTCGCCGGCGGTGTGGGACTTGCTGAGCTGGACGCGAGGAGCAATCTCCTTGCCCATACCCTGGAGAGCAGCGATGGCCTGGGCCTAGATGTAGGAAAAGCAAATGTTAGCTGATATTGGTCCGATTAAGTGCAGATGCCCGTGTGCTTCCCGCACCACACGAACACGAACCACCAAGAATCTCGCTGGAGTGACTGACCTCGTTGATTTGGTTGTCCGAAGAAGTAGCAGTAACGGGAGTGGCGCCGCCCTGAACATCGGCGACGGACTGCTGAGCCTGCTGGTTCTGTTGGATCTCCTGGTTCGGCGTTTCCTGAACCGCGGCAGTAGCCGGGGCAGCAGCCGGGGCAGCAGCCGGGGCAGCCGCGCCTCTGCCAGCACCTTCACCCGCACCCGCACCCGCACCGTTGCCAGCAGCCTGGCCCGCACCTTGTGCAGCGTTGACTGCCGCGCCTTCCAGTACGTTCATCAACTGGGAAACATCGCTTTTGCCGCCGAATGAAATTTCACCATCACCCACCACCAAGGCAGGAGAGTAGGCACCAAGGTTGATGTTCAAGGGCAAGGCGCTGACTTGAGCGGCAAGGCCGGCAAGGGCAAAGATGTAGCGGTTAACCATATTGTCGGTCGGTTCGGGTAGTCGGAATGTCTTGCGTGTGATTCGGATAGAACGGCTCGGAGGGCGTGATGATCCACGGGGCTTTGATACTAGATAATAGGCGTAGGGTTGTATAAGGGAACGACCAGCGGAAGAAGTGAAGTGTTTTAGTGGGTTTTTTTTTTTTAAGTTGGTAATGAAAGAGGAAAACCAAGAGGAGACAGGATACCAGTCGAGCACAGCTAAGGAAGAAGAAAGAGAGAAGAGTGAGAAAACACAAGAGGATTTGGCTTTCATATATCTCCCCATGCGGCGAGAGGTGGGCGAGGTGAGACTGTAGACCGGCGGCATGCTTGAGACGCAGCCGCCAAAATGCCAAGAAACAGAAACCCGCTGCAAGCCTCGTGTTAGTCGCGGGCCCTCGGACATGACCACAAAGGCCTGCTGCCCGGGGTGGCCCCTAGATCGATTCGGTATGGAGGTACAAGGGTGGTCGACTCGTTAGAGGTGGGAATTGCCCAGCTGGAAAGCCCCGAATACTACTATTGGACGGAGGGCTTCTCAAGCTGGCTCTCCGCCGGCGGAGCCGGGGAAGTCCAGAGTGCAGTACAAGCAGCGAAGGACGCAATGAGGCATGAAACGCAGGTGACACCAGAGGCCGGCGGCGGGCCAACTGGACATGCCATGTTGGGATATCCCTCTGGCTGGCGAGGGTGCGTTGTGAGGCGACTCGAGACCAGGCTTAAGGAGGAGACCTAGTAGTAGACTTGACGAGGGGTGGTCTTGGCATCGTCGCCGTGCCTCTATGCGATGGGCAAAAATGCAAGGTAGGATGCCAATTTTGGCCCAGAGATCCACGCTCTGATGTTACCAGGGCGGGGGTAACCCTAACCTCGGACGCGCAGTGAGATCCGTCTTGACTCTCTTGTAAGTTGTCGTTGGTCCAGGGAGGCAGCATTCGAAGAGTGGGTCAGTCGCTTTTGAGACCATGCCAAGAACTCCTGCGATGGCGACTAGGACGTGCACGGCGACGATGCTACCTTGCTGCTTGTCTTCTTTCGGCGACAGGATGAACGGGGCGAAAGCGTGCGGGTGTATGGAGTACAGGCGGAAATTCAGAAAAGAGACGAAAAGAGGCTCTTAACTCCAGTAGCATTCTCGCAGTGCCAAGGGGGCGGATTATCCTCTTGGCACTCGACGGGTCGCCGTGCGGCCGGTGTCGTATTTTGTCTGGCAGGCGGCATTCCCTGGATGTAGTATAGTTGGCATCCTTTCAAGGTACTATGGCCAAGGAGCCCAAGAGATCTTCCCGGTATTGGCGCTGTCGACCGCCATGACGAACAGAATTTCCAGGCCCGCCAAGGGCAATCTTCCAGTGCCCAGCCGCGTACTTTGGCGGGCTACGGGAAGAAGAAAAAAAAAAAAAAAAAAAAAAACCTCCGTGTCTCCAAGACACTCGGGACTGCTAAACGAATAACAAGGGAACTGAATCGGGGTTGCTTTCCTATGCCGAGTCGTGCTCGCTGCAACAAAGGCCACCGTTGTACCGGACGCTGAAATGGCGTCCCGCTCGAATGTTTCCCGATGCCGGCCGGGTCACAGTGGTGGGAATCTCGCCTAATGGTCAACAGTAAGGGCAAACACATCACAGCCGAGCCCCAGTGGTTAGTCCATTGACAATTGTCAGGATGAGCAGCCCCATGCAAGAACTCCGTAGGACGACCATCAAGCAAAAGGGGTCTAGGTGTGTGTACTGTAGTAACCTGACCTTGTGTCGACTAGAGAAAAGTGGGATGCAAGATGCAATGCAGAGAGCGGATGAAGTCGACCGAGGCGGGATGCAGACTCTGCAGTACGTACTGCATGTGCTGGTGCGACACCCTCCACGTTACCCCGCCGGTGTCTGAGACCTCGGAGTTGATTGATAGCCACCGACCGTTGTGCGGAGAGACTCCTCTCTTGTTTGCTCGGGGCTCCGTTCCGTGGCCAATTTTAGCATCGGGTGTCAGACTGGCCACCCCTTGTTTCCAGCGAAAGAGCCTGTTTAGCGGTTCTACAGTGGAGTGCCAAAAGTCTCAGCACACCCACTAATTTCTTAACCACCAACATTATGACTGCATCACTTTGACCAGCAACAAAACCATCAACTTTATATGTGAGAACAAAAGGCTTGTAAATCAGCCATAATTTACTGAAGTTATGGGGAAAATAAGAAGAGGAGGTAGATGTTAGAGGACGCGTTGTGACTCGTTATCGAGTGGGGTGTACCGTGATTTTTGGCACCCCACTGTATGTGATCCCTTCCCCGTTGCAGCCCCAGAAGACATGACCCGTTGGGGGCGAACATGCACACACCAGAACCTCCTTGTCTTGGATACAGGATACAGGTACTAGGGCTGGGCCTGTAGACTGTCAAAACCGACAGGTGGCGATCGAATCGGTTCTGTTGCTTGTAGGTGTCAGAATCAGACGTGGGATTTGGTCAATGCCGTAGGAGGGTTTGTTTCCTTGTGACCGACCTATCGTTTTCTTTCTTTTTTCGTTCTTTTTTTGTCCCTTTTTTTTTCCTTTTTTTTTTTTTTTCTGCAGCACTTTGGAGCGACCGAGGGGTGTCTGAATCGCCGGCAAAACATGTCCTTTCCTAGGTAGTGCGTAGGTAGGTAGGTAGGTAGGTAGGTAAGCACTGTTGCCAGCCACAATCTAATCCTAACCAGCTCTTGCCGGCTTCCCTTAACCCGTACCTCACCTTAGTGCAGGTAGGTGCCTCGGGCCGTACATTAGTGGGAGCAACTGTCATGTGTGGCGGCCTTCCTTTCTATGTACCAGCTGCTCTGCAGTCGAGTCTGAATTGACTTTGACTTAAGGTCCTAACCTTATGTATATGTGCCAAGAGGTCACGTCGCTGCCACCACCATAGTTTGATACCCCGTCTGAGGTGCAGCCGCCACGTTTTGTCCCCGAGGAACAGAGTAAAAGATTAGAGAGGAAGATTAACCCTCGCCCAGACGGCGGAATGGTCGGTCTTGGGAGGCCAATTCAAGTCAAGCCTCGAGGCCCCTAGCGACCCCGTTGACTTGGCTTTCTGGGGAAGCTGTTCTCTCACCGTCATTGGGCCCGTGAGCTGATGTTGCTTGAAAAGGGCTTACCAAGATCATCCATCCACCGGCGACGCTCTTGGCGATGCTCTTGGCGATGCTCTTGGCAACGCTCTTGGCTGCGTCGCCGAGTGTCATCTCGTCTGCTACCCATGCGGACTTGCTCGAGACCCTAGCCGTTGGGGGGCCAAAAATTGCCGCACCTCTTACGAATCCCTTCGGATTGATTGTGTTTGTTTCGAGAATTGGTACCTTACCAACATAAGCTTGTCTGGCTAATCCATCTTGGGTGACTGGGTAGCCGTCATAACCCCCCCCCCCCCCCCCCCCCCTGAAAGAATCCAAGCACGCAAGCATGCAAAACCCCTCGACTGCAACTTTGGGCGTCGACAATTGTTGCCCTTTCACAAGTGCCGACAGAGGAGGCAAGATTGTACGGGGCTGCCACCCCGCCGAGAGCGAGCTGTGACTTGGCTCGATGGTCACCCACCAGAACGGCGGTCTTCGCTGAGTGTGGCACGTCTCCCGACACATATCGCCTCCGGGTATTGATTTTGCAAGGCCTCGTCGATGCCAAGAACCAGGACCACTTCCTTCTTCGGACGGATTCCCGATCGTTACCCTCAAGCTTCTGTCATCCAAGCAAGCCCCTTGTGCGCAATCCTCATTGATATCAGGCTTGCCAAGACGGCAGGACGGCGCCGCAATGTAACCGCAGCCAGCAAGCAGCACCGTAACGGGTTGCCAACCACCAGTACTCCGTACTGCGCAGTGCTTGGGCGTGCGCTTTCACTCGTCGCATATTCTTTCCAGTCCGAAAATAGCTCTTGACGGAGACGGCCTGAGACGTTTGCGACTCTCGGTTGCTGCCTCATTGACTCTTGGACGAACCGGTCCGTACGGGCTCTTCTCTCCGTTTATGCGTTCCATACGGGTCAGCTTACCTGGATCTGTTACAACTTTTGGGCGAATTCTAAATAAATCCTCTCTCGCTCTCTCATGCCTTCAAAGGGACACCCAGGCGTCATTATCCCAGGGACTGACCCGTGTCGCCAGATCCTTCCTAGTTGGGCAAAATCGGGTTTTCTTCACATTGCCTTCTTCTGTTTGTTTGCTGGTTGGCTTGGGAAGGGGGAAGAGTCGAGCGGTGCTGTGGGCTCCTTCCCAAAACGCATCCAAAACAGTGAAACATTCGCGGGATGCTCGTCCTCTATCCGTACATAGTAGCATTCTCTCGTCGCTTATCGCACACGCCAAGGCCGGGCCTCAGACGTGCCAGATAGGGTGGCCGGTGTGGAAGGGGCGGCAAGGAGAGCGAGGCATCGTCGCTTGTCCTTGGGGGGGCCTGAACCGACTACCAGTCAATGAGGGTCTCCTGACTCGTCTCCTTGTTTCCGCCATTGACGCTGTCACTCGCTGCCTGCCCTATATCGCCAACGGATTATTGCAATAACCGGTCAAGACCCTCCTGTGGAAGTCTTGGCGCTGCAGGCTACGGCTCAAGCATCTCTCGATGCAGGTATATTTCCCGACTATTGTCACTTGGTAGAATCCAGCGCAATGTCTCCTCTACGCGTCCTGCGTCTAATTGGAAGGATGATTAATTTCAGCAATCCGAGCTTCCAACTGGCCAACGTGCGACCCCTGTGCCGCGTTGATGTATCAGCAGCCGCATCTGACCACCACTTTCCCTAAGAGGATAGTATGACAGGGGAGTTGCCAATAGTCTGCGGCTCTGAGCGACCTTCCTTACCTCGACCATAACAGCGAAACTATCATCGGCACCTTCTTCATCATTAATCCATCTGGCCACACTATAGTAACATTAATCGAACCAGGACTTGTTCCCTGACTCCTGCTAGCACCTCTTTGCCACTGTCGTGCTCGCAGTCATGACGGCGAAAAGCTGCGCTGAGTCAATCACGCCTCATCGACGCGCGCACTCGCAGCGGATAGATTGGTGTAGACCTCTCGTTCTCGCTGTCGTTCTCTTGAGCCTCTGGACCTGGAAACTCACTGATTATCTCCATGCCCGCAATGCAATTCTCCATCCACACCGTGCCCCGTTCCCGGTCTTCGCCGACTGGGACGACGTCCCGACCAGCGAGGAACTGCGCTGGGTGCGATGCGTATTGCCCGGCATGGTTTCCGCCGGCCGCAGCTACATGTGCGCCCGCCTGACCGTGCCGATGGATTACCAACGTCCTCTGAATAAGTCCTCTGATAGCCCCAAGGTCCACATCGCCATGGTCCTCCTTCCCGCCCTCGGCCACGGCTTGGAAACGGGCCGCTTCTCCGAGTCTCCGCTTCTTGTCAACCCCGGCGGACCAGGTGGGTCCGGAACCGCTTTCGTGCTCCCACCCTACGGCCCCAACCTCCAGTTGGCCGCTGGAGGTACACTCGATCTTATAGGCTTCGATCCCCGGGGCGTCGGAGCCACGACGCCCCGCGCCGACTGCTTCGTCGATATCGAGCCGGGCCATGAGTCCTCAACCAGGGCGAAGAACCTCGGCTACTTGCACCGGTTGACCTGGCTGGCGATGGGTCACGATGTCGGTCTGCTCAACACCACCGCCGCCGCCGAGGACCAGCTTGTCCACAGGACCAAGGCGGCGTCCAAGTTGTGTTCCCTTAAGGACGGGGAAGCGGGCGGGTTCAGATACATGGCGACACCGAATGTGGCGGCCGACATGAAGACCATCATCGAAGCCCACGACGCGTGGCTCAAGGATAACGGATTCGACACAATTCCGCTCAGCGCCGCCGGTACGCTTACAAAAAGTGAAGCGGCACCCCCTTCTACCAAAGGCAAGCTTGTGTATTGGGGCTTCAGCTACGGCACATTCCTTGGCCAGACTTTTGCGGCCATGTATCGTATGTGGCCCTTTCCCTTCGCGTCCGTCGGCACAGCTCGGAACAGATACGGCTGACATGACTCTTATATTACAGCTGAACTGGTGGGACGCTTGATTCTCGACGGTGTCGTTGAATCCGGGGCGTACGATGCCCCTGTAAGTTATTTTCCAGAGCCCCCTATCCAAAACGCCAAAGCACGATGTGCTGACAGCACGGAAGACGTGGATCTCGGCCATACAAGACGCAGACGCGGTCCTCAACAAGTTCTTCTACTTCTGCCATCTTGCCAAAAACGGCTGCGCTCTCTTCCGCGATGGCGATGACGGTCCAGCTCCCGTCAAGGAACGATATAAACAGGTCATGGCCAAGCTGCGGGGCGAACCGATAATTGCCGTCTCTACCTCGGGGCACATGCCCGTCGTGCTGATGGAAGCCGACATCAAGAGGGTGCTCTTCACCTCTCTGTACTCTCCCGTCAAGACATTCCCTCTACTGGCCAATTTCTTAAACCGATTGTTCGTCGGAGACGACATCTCCGAGTGGTTGATTGTGCCGGACTTCGGCTTCATTCGTGATCCCAACTTCAAGCTGCCGCTTTACCCCGAGGAGAGCACGTGGGCCGTCTTATGCAGCGACAGTCGGTACCGTGTAAGTGGTAACTATCACGCTTTCAAAAATGCAACACTGACAAGTAACCTGTCCTGCAGCGGAACGAGACTTGGGGGGAGACTTTCGACAAGGTGTCCAAATACAGCACTTCGGTTGCTGACGTCGTAAGTCTAGTCCATATCATGCATAGCCATGAAGCTAATATACAGCTCAGTTCACGACCATCATGATGACCTGCGAAGGCTGGGAAATCGAAGCCAAGTTCCCCAGCCCCGACTGGGACGCAAATCTACAGAGCCCGGACCCGGTCAACATCTCCTTCCCGATCCTCTTCGCAGGCAACACCCACGATCCCGTCACACCTCTCTCTTCGGCAGTCAAAATGTCACGGAACTTTGCCAACGCCGCCGTCTTCGAGCTCGAGGCTGAGGGCCACTGCACCCTTGCCGCGACCTCGCTCTGTGCCATTACGAAGATCCGTGACTACCTACAAAAGGGCATCGTCCCAACGCGGTTGACTGTCGCCGCCGACGGCACTCTTTCGGGTTGGGACAAGTGCAAGGCCGATGAGAGGCCTTGGAAACCCTTTCTGGGCGGGCCTGGCGAGCTGGAGGGTGGCGTGCGGGCGGAGGACCTACATGCCTTGCAGGGGTTGAGAGACGTGCATGACAAGGTCGTCGGCAGCTTGACACCGCCTCTGAAGCTGCGCCTTGATTGATGAATCAAGCTCCACAATCCGCGATCCCGCATAGATCGTAATCCTGAATGCGGTTTTCTCGACATGGTGATCTCGCCGGCACTTGGAGAGCTTGTTCCATATCTTACGGGGTGGGGACAAGACTTCTGGCCAGGCTCTGTATGAATGGGATTTTGATGGTTCCACCTCGATAGAATGCATCAAGGAGGTCGATATACCCTCCCGCGATCGAGCATGTTGTCAGCCAAGGTATCCAGCCGATCTCGATGTCTGTCAGGCTGAAAACCCAGTCTACGCCCAGTCTTGGACGTGGGGCATGAAAGAAGATGGAACCGGCTCGCTCTTCAGGGCGGTTTACCGTCCACGACAAAGCCGTACCTGAGTAGCTGCTCTTGGTGCTGACTTGTGTCTCTCAACTCGAGGCTTGACAAAGACATGCTGCCTCGATATTGACCGCCGCCCCCCTCCCCCCCTCCCCCTCTTCCCCTTGAGTCTAACATCCTTGTACACAACGCGAAGAGGGGATAGTAAACATGAGCCGCTAACGGCAATCGTAAATCGAATCCAGATTGCACAGTTGACAGGTCGAGATTCCCGACAGGCCCGCCCTCATGCAGGAGCCTCGGTCCAGATCTATACGTGGGCGCGTTACAGGTAGACCGCCTGTGGACGCGTAAGGCAGTTTTCATGCTTCTGGCACGCACGCATACACACACAAACACACACAGCCTCTCTCTCTTCACGGCTGGCGAAACGATTCCGGTGCTTTTGTCCATGTTTCCGCCTAGACCGCTCGATCGTGGGGTTGCGGCTGCTCCTGCGCGGGACCACTGCAAACGCCCGCGATGTGATCGCCGATGCCATTAGCCTGGCACCAGACGATTCTTGACCTCTCGACGTTTCGGGTCCCTTTCCTGGTCTGAAGTAGTACCGGCATGTCTATGCTTACTCCGTTTGGTTCTGCAATCTGATCGTGGCCATGGCGTGTGTGGCTTGGGCAGGACGGACAGGGCCAAACGGATTCCTACGAGCGCCGAGCCTGCGCGCCTCCAACCGGACTCGGGCATATGCTTTTTTTTCTCGTGCTCCCAGTAACGTGACGATGCCAGGCAACCGCCGCCACCAAAATCACTAGCACTGCCAATGGCGTGCGGTCTAAGATGGACTCGCACGCGTTTTAACCGCCCAATACGCCTCGCCCCAAAGCAATCGCATGCTTCTCTAGCTAGGCAAGAACACACAAGAAGCTACCCCTCATTCCAAGGGGATCGACGAGCGCCGAGCGGTGTGCCCCTCGACCGCCGCCCAGGCTTGTCTGAGACCAGATCGTTTCCCTCCCCACTCTCCCCCGACGCCGAGCGGACGTGCGGTCTTACCCGCCGATGCGGTCGATGACCAACTGTGGCATCGATCATCAGGGGCTGCGAGAATCGCTGCACGAGGAAAAGCTGGCAGGCGGGGGACCGCACCTGGCGTGCCTTAGCGTCCACTATCGATGCGTCGTTCCGTGGCTCAGTGTTGCTTTCTTATTCCATACCCGCGGTGCTACGTTGTCGGCACGTGTCAATGGGTTAGGCACATTCTTCAAATGCAAGAGCCCGCGTGTCCATGAGAGGGGTCAGAGGGGTAGGTATGTAAGCCAAAGAACCAGGAAGACACCGCGCGGGCGGCTTTGAGAGACTTCATACGATGTATCCTAGCTTGGGAGAGAGACAGCGAGTTGACATGAGGCCAGGAGGTTAGAGAGGACTGTCAACAAACAGTGGCAGCCAGCATGCGAGCTTCGAGCTGCCAGCTCAACAAAAGCTTGACGACATAGCTCCAGAGCGGCAGCGGGTCCACTTGAGACTCCGAGGCCCAGTTCCTGACGACGCTAGGCCCCGCTGATTGACACTAGACCGATCCTAGCTTATTGAGTGGATTGTGGATACGGTATACCTGAGAACCGTGTATGTCTGGGAATGAGCAATGCGTAATAGAGGGGTAGAAGAGGGGTAAGTTCGGGTTCCTCAGGGTCCGCAATGGCTTCGCTGCCTGGCATGGCATAACCGGCGTGTTTTCGATATGTCGTATGTCGTTGTGGTGACGTATTTTGCGTGGGATTACTTCGGTTTCGGGAGGCCAGACGGCAGGCAGAGGGACGGTACGGGAAATCGGGATGGGACAAATGTTGTGAAGGGGCACGAGATCAGGACCCGGAGTCGGCCAGGATCTGAACAAGTGGGTAAGGGATGTGGCGGGCCCAGCGAAAATACGCATGTTGTGATGCACGCATTTTGTCAACCGAATTTGAGACTGCACCGCAGATTCGCCTGGGTCGCGGCAAACGGGAAGGTACTTGCTCTGTTAGGAAAGGCATCAATGGTTTCCTCGCATCGCATTCGTCCGGTTGAGGGACGAAGCCCGCGCCTCTGGAGCGTCATGCGAGACGGCCAGCGGAGATTCCCCTATTCTCCAGGGCCTTCAGCCTCTTTGGCCCGGACGATAATGTCCGGTCTAGGCCTGGGGACCGACTGTGTATGGGGAAAAGATCGATACCAACCAAAAGACGAGATCTCGATGACATACAGTCGTCCGCATGCCTCCGAGCGGATTGGGAAACAATCATCCCCACACTCATCGCTGCCGCATCCAGAGAGGCAGAGGCAGGCGGCGGTTCTCCCTCATCAAACGCTCTGGGTGGTCCAAAGCACCAAGTTACCTAGCGATGGCGTCACCATGCAGGGGATTCTGCGACGATGGGACGAATCAGCGACGCCGTGGCTGCTCCCTGAGCTCCTGGCTCAATCGGCTTGCTGGTCCGTGTGGTCTATTGAGCTTGTCAGTCTCTTCCCCTATCAATGCTGCGTGCACGGCTAGGATCCTTTGCATCGGGTGGGAGGTCCACTGTGGCTGCAAGCTTACTGGAGAGCATGCTGGCTTGACCTTTGGGTGAGCAATGTGAAGGCGCTTACAATAATGGGACCTCGGGTGCCAGAAGGGTGGGGGAAGCGGCGATGTGATCGCGACTTGCACAAATGCCATCCTGCTGACTGCGGCATGTTTGGCTGGTTGGCTGGCCGCCGTGGTGCAATCGACAGGCTGACGTATTCTCCCGGCCAGCATTACGCGACAAATACATAGCATGTGGTATGCATGTCTTGCTACAAACACCAACTGCAAGCTCTGCAGCTCCAGAAGCGGGGGCACCCGGTTCAGAGATGAAAACCTCCCTAGGTAGGTAGCTATGTAAACTACCTAAGTAGGGCAGGTAGACTACCGACATACGTAAACTACCTACCTACCCCCCTACCTGGGGTACTTCAGACAAGCCTCAGTTGACACGCGGGGACGCTATGACGTTGGCGTATGTCTGTTCCTGTCTCATGCTGTAATGACGTCATTTTGCCAAAAAGGGGAAGGCTCCTCCCAGGCTGGAGCTCCGTTTTGTGGCTGGTGAGACTGCATCCGAACCAGACGCAGCTTTGCACGGTGCCACCTTTTCGGTCGGTTTTGATAGAGATCCCCGGTTGGCTGATGGGCGAGGACCATGCCATCCATCTCCAGTCCTCTCTAACTGGAGTAACTGCGAAGAAGCACCAGGCAGGCCCGTGGTCTATGACGCCATTCCTTGGGTTCACATGAGAGACCCTCAGCGTCCCTGCCCGATGGGGTGAAACTGCGCTACAGCCACGAGTGGACAAACCCGGCGGAGGGTCATTCAGTACTCTGTACTTGCGCAGGGAGAGGCACGCACGAGAGGCATTGGTTGTCTTTGGGATACCGCAAAAGAGGGGGAGGGGCAGGTGTTGGAGGGGCAAACCCGAGGTACCTCTGCCCATTGTGCAAGGCGGCAAGCTACCTACTGTCCCACATACCTACCCGCTTCCAGTCTGGTTGTGAATGATCTCCGTCAAGGCCAGCGGGGCAACTTCCGCAAGGCAGGAAGGAAGGTACCACGCAAGAGGCAACCACTTGCTGCCTCTTTCACTCACGGGCGGCTTCAAAGTGCTTTCAATTTCTTATATAAACCTCCCCTTCCCACCACCTCTATCATCTTTTCTTTTCTCCTCATCACACACTCAAACAAACAAACTCAATCAATCTTCTACTTCAAACCAACCAACCAACCAAACAACCAACAAACCCAACCATCAATCAAAATGGACACCATCAAGAACGCCGCCAACTACGTCTCCGAGTCCGTCCAGGGCGCCGGTGCCACCGCTTCCAAGGAGGCCAACAAGAACGTCGCCAAGGACAGCGATGCCGGCATCATGAACCGGTAAGCTTCACTCCTACTTCTTTCCTTGACACTTCACTAATATGCCTAATAGTGCCACCGCTGCCAAGGACGCCGTTGGCGACAAGCTCGACGAGTCCAAGCACGACGCCAAGGGCGAGGGCTACAAGCAGGCTGCCAAGAACTAAATCATTTCCACGATATCCCAATAATCGGAATGGGCCAAGGGAAAGGCGTTCGGAACGGATCGGGGATACGCAGTGAGGCACACCTAGGAATGATTAATTACCCTCACCTAGAATAGCCATAATGCCACTTCATTGCTAGTAAAACACAAGTTCTCGTGATCTTTTGGACATTAGACATTTCCCACCGCCATTCAGAAAAACGGCTGCCACGTTTCTTGATTCAACTTTCCTTATGGAATCTGATTGCTCGTTGTTCTTTCTGCCAATCATGCCGATAAACATCTTTGCCGTTGATGAGGCTGCCATGTAAGTCTGATATCATCAGTTAGTTGCACTACAATCTGCAAGTATCATCCTTGTACGGGCGTGCCACGTTTCCCCCCACCACCACACAAACTGGTTCCCCACACCGGGGCTGCTCCCCCGGCGCACGGATCGCCAACCTCAACGTCGCGAGATTCCAGCGTTTCTGGTGTGTTGGGGTGAAGCAATTGAGCCGCAATCTTCCACCACCACCTCCATCACCACCCTCTATCTTGAATCGCCTTCGTTCGGAATCGCCACCACTATGTCGACCGCATCATCAACCCTCCCACCCGATCTGTTCGACCAAACGACCCTCGTCTCCCTTGGAGCTACGGTAGTTCTCCTGTCCATCGCCATCGGCGTCTCTCGTCGCGTGCTCCACCCGACGACTTCGACGAAATATCGCATCCTCTTCGTCTGGCACGCTTTTGATGCTCTTATTCACTTCTTCCTCGAGGGCAGCTTCCTCTACCACTGCTTCTTCTCGTACATCTCGCTCGCCGAAATCTCCGACGCTGACCTAGGCCGATTTCACCCGACACCGGCCAACTTCCTGGGCCACTCGGACCGTATCTATGGCTCCCAGGCCGCCGGCGACAACCCCTTTGCCAAGCTTTGGATGGTCTATGCGAGGGCCGACAAGAGATGGGCCGGCGCGGACTTGGTAGGTTGTGCTGCGTGAATAGGAGTGGGTTGAGACTGACGCGCAACACAGGGCGTGATCTCGCTGGAGCTTCTGACCGTGTTCGGCGCCGGGCCCCTGGCGGTGTGGATCTGCTACTGCATCGCCAAGCGCGACCCCAAGGTCAACATTTGGATGATCATCATCGCGACGGCGGAGCTCTACGGAGGTGAGTCGACGAGCGGGTTCTCGACCCCCTTTTGACCGGAGGGCCAGCACGACTGACGCTTTGGCTAGGTTTCATGACCTTCTGCCCCGAATGGCTGACGGGCAACATCTATCTCGACACCAGCAACTTCATGTATCTGTGGGTGTACCTGGTCTTCTTCAACATGCTGTGGGTGTTTATCCCCTTGTACGCCATCTATGTCGCCTACGGGGAGATTTCGCACGCCTTCAAGGCCCGGGGCGCGAGAAAGAACCTTTGAGCAGGTTCAGTGGTGGCATAGGTGATTAGTGCGGGATACGCGATTGGGTATTCTGCAATGCTAGAGCCGCATCGTCACGCAATGGGCACGTTCAAGGCCCGTGTTGCCTTGCACCACTTTGATAAGTGACACTTTCGGCTCGGCCACGATCATATTATAGAACCCCGTAGGAACCTAGGCTAGGTCGTGCGCAGAGTCGTGGATTGAGCGCCAAAGTGATGTTGAAGAATGAGGAGCGTAACTAGTTAAGGGCACGTGTTGACACCATATGCGAGCAAATCCGCTAGCGATAGTCCAAATGCAAGGTACAGCGGGTGCCCTTCTGAAATTGAGCAAACCATACCCTCTCGCTCTTCCTTTTATCATGAGTCAAATATGGCCACAAGACATTCGCATACAGGTATGGCTCTTTGGCATAGACGGCTGATGGATATCGAATCTCAGTCCGAAAAAGCCTTTAGTGGCTTATGAATGACGACACGTCTATGCTCGAAGGAGGCCCGTAGACCAACTTCAACTTATATGTGCCTATCTGAATCTCACACTCCTCTCTACAATGCCGGCGCGGACTCCATTGTCAGAGGCACGCACCTCCGTTCTCCCGTTTATGTTTAGTGCTTGATTCTCCCGACACTCAAACGGATGCCGGAACACAATTCGGCCATGCCCAACCCAAGCAAGGCAACAACGCGACCGCTAATCGTTCCGAGACGGATTTTAGACAAAGGACACTGTGGTTTGACAAGAAAGACATGGCAAAGTTGCAGCGGAAGGCCTTGGAATTGGCTAGTTTGTATGTTTGCCTCGTGACCTGAAGCATCGACTGGCCCGAGAAGGCATCATGGGAGAAAGGCTACACGCGTAAGGGCTTCCAGATATGTTGCTCCGTGTCGGTCTGAGCAAAGGCTTTGGCGTCTGACACTACTAGTCCCTTCAATGCCACGGTATCTAATTTGCCGTTCGCTTCCGAATTGGACCCAGAGGGCTCAGTCACCACTTTCATCCTACATGACAGCTATCTCCGAGCTCGATTGGAAAGACGGTTAAGCTGGACCTTGAGTCGGACTGCATCCGGTCCGGGACTATTCGCGCCTCAGACTCGCGAATTGGCAAAAACGCTCAACACGGCCCCGTCATTAGAGAGAGAGAGGGGGTGGGTGGATGGGTGGTAGTATGCCGAGGCAAAGAAATCACAGCAGTCCAAGCCCGAGTGCTCCTTAGATACCTACTTCTCGCATTTTTCTGCGTGCCTCCTTCTACATGGCTTCTTTCATAATCGAAGAACGTCGCCTGCTGTTCCGGTGCTCCTGCCTCCTGCTCCTTCCTCGACGAACATGTGCCTGCCGTCAGTATCCTGAGAAGCTTCCAACCGTTTCCATTATGGACGAACGCTACCTGCCGTTCCCGTGCACCTGCCTCCTTGTCATCACAGTCTCGGTGCCCCGTGGTTTTCAGAGATGAGATATCAATCAATGGTATCAGGGCTAGGTTGAATTATTGATTCAGTTTCATAGGTACCCTACCACGCGGGTTCCAAGATACACCGCTAGTCAACACTAAACTTGGGTAAGGCGATCTGAGAAACCGGCTGTGTTTTTTGGAACCCGCGTGCTTACTAACCTCCCACGTGGTGCACTTCGGTGTCGAGGGTGGCTAGACGGTCCATCCGTTGATGATCATCGTAAGAGTCATATCTGTCACTCTGGCTTTGTCAGGACTGATACATTTTCCCACGCAATTGTCCAGACTATGTGCCCGGTGACGTGAAACTCCGCAGGGAGTGATACCCCTGTGCAAGTGTAGACTCAGTATCTTCTAACGGTCATTCAAGCGAAGCCAGATGAATGGCCTGTTATCCCACGTATGAAGAGCTCATCATCGTCAGTCATTGTGTAGTTTTCCTGTCCTGCACCGTCCGATGACAGACGCAGACAGGCACAGATCCTTGGTTTTCTGTATGTTAGGGGAGGGGACAGAAGTTTTTGGAGAGGGGAAGAAAAAGTGACCTCGGCGATGGAAGGAAAGAAGGGAGCAACGCACCTTGTAATGTCGGATCATCCCGCGAAAAGGTTCATTGACTCTGTGCATCACGGGTTACCCGCCCAACGTGATGCAGTTGATTGATTGTGTGAGAGATGAATTTCTCGTTGATTTATATGAAGTGTTGATGTGATCGATTATAAAGGTCTCAAGAAGGGTCCCGTACCCAAAAAAAAGAAGGAAAAGGTGCTCTTGACCTCTATGGTTAATGGCTAAGATCAAACTTTGACTGTCCGCTGCGGTTTACAAAAGTGACCTTGAGGCTAGGCAGTCGGGGCCCTAAAGCAAGGCGTTAGCCGGGTGAACAGGTGAGGTTCAGACCGTGGGTTAACCTTTCATTCGGTTGCCTTGACGGATAGGGTATGGTATGGATGGAAACGAGATTTTACTACCATCTATCTATCAGTATCAGGTAGTATCACTTAGG